TTTAACAGTCTATTACAGATTTAATTTACAAAACAGTAACTGTCCTGTCCAGATGACCTACCATAACTGAATCAAAAAGAACAAAAAAGCCATTCCTTTGAAAATTGTAAGTTGCAATTCTTGGTAAACTTCATAAAAGCTTAAAACAAAAAAGCTTAGATATAAAAAAAAGTGATGTACATTTTGAGCTACATGCTAGTTACAGTTTATTTTACTGCTTATTACACAGCAATGTTCAGCACCAATACCCGTGATACATTACTTACAGGAATGAAACTACCATCTACATGAGAAAAAGATCCTGCTTCATCTGAGAATATTTCCAAGGAAGCCAGTTTTTAGCCAGTGTAAAGTAAAATATGTAGAGGTCTGAAAATGTGCAATTAATATTCAGAGATAATGGACAAGGCTGTTTCCATTAGGAGGATTCCATTTAAAACCATCTATCATAACTGCCACTTCACTGTCCTCTTTCCTTGATATGCTGCCTTTATCATGCTTCAGAAGAATTTGCACGATTAGGACTGATAGAAACACACTCCAAAGAGCAAAAATAGGTCTTTAAAGGTTGAAAACTCCAAAACATTGAGGATTTCTGGCTGATGCAAACAAATAGGTTTAAAAATCTAACCTATTACAAAAGTCAAGCTGCAGTAGTTAGCAAGGAAACAGAAAAAAGTATGTTGAATTAAGGTCTAAGATTTGAGTATGCTATATCATAGCACAAATATTTTACTTTGTATAAAAAGTTTTTAAAAAAGTGATTTACTATTGAGGTCCTTATGGAGCTTTTAGGTTTCCATTATGCCTGATGAATAGCCAAAAAAGGTCAGACCACTAATATTAAAGATAACGTTAACTGGTTCAAGACAAAACTATTTGAACTCTCTTTCATATCGCTAAGTTCCTTCCCTCTCAAAGATCTGGTAACATTTCTATCTTTTGAGAAGGACTGTTCTAAAAATATAGTGGCTAAAACCCTAGGAATAAATTACACAAATGATGAAATTACCACATTAAAAGCCTGATCCTAATCTCAGTGGAAGTTATGGGTGCTCAAAACTTCTGAAAAATCAGCTCAAAACCAAAACAGTTTATTTGTTGTTAGCCAATCCTACAGAACTATACTGCAAAGAGAAAAAGAAAAAAGTTTGATACAACTACTGTAGAGTAGACATTTAAATATTTCTAGAAGTAAACAGATTACAATACAATTCAGTTTAGCACAGTTTTTACATACGTCTCTGGGATTACTGGCTGTATCAGCTATGAAAATGTTTCTTTGCCTCCATTATTAGTGGATTTTAATTAATTATCCAGCTCTTCAACTGACTCATTTTCTCAAACTGAAAGTTTAAATTTCATCTCAAGAATTCCAGTATGTATACAGTATTGGAAACATAAGAACTGAGTCCTAAATTACTCTAGCTCATTTCAGTGTATGCTAAATTAGTGAAAAATATCCATTTGTCCAACTCAGGTGACAGTGAACAAGCTCATCAGAATGAAGCAGAATGGTTTCATTCCATCAAGCTATGCATAGAATAAAGAACAGGACAGATGAAATATTCTATTGCCAAAGCCTTTTCCCATGTAAACTTAAGTTTACTCTTGTTACTTGTACAGTATTTAACTCAAAATAACATTACAGGTACTTAATGAGATAACAGTTAAACAGCCTTGTTCAAACTGAAATCTTTAGTTCTGTGGTTTCAAGATTTAAGTGCCTGATGGCAGCTGTCATAAGCACACTTCAGTATTTCCACACTGTACAAATAATATTAGTCCTGGCTACATAGAACATCACTTAAGGAGAACTTCAATGCACAGTGCTGTTCTAACTTAGAGTGGGAAAAGTAGTGTTATTTAAAGTGGTAAAAATTAAAAAAACGAAAAAAAATGTCAACATTGTTCCACATTCCCTCAGACAATAAAATGTACACAAATTAAGCTAGGAAATTTGAACTAAGATTTTCTTAACATACATTCAACTTGGCACAGTGCAGACTAAATTTAAGACATGAAAGACAAACTGTAATGGACAGAGCTACACTTGAAGTAACATGTCATTTTTCAAGACGCCAAAATTGCACTCTAGTTTTGTTGGGAAATCAGCAGAATTTGTAGGAGGGGAGAGCGCTGTACAGGCCAGGTATATTTTATACATTTTCAAAAAATAATCCTACAATCCTCAATGGGAGAGATTATTGTCATGGAATGACACACTCTGCATGATATCCAATCATCTTCATATTTCATTTACTTTTCAGCAACTATAAAGAAAAAACAGTTAAACAGATATGCAAACATATGCCAATGACATGAAATATAATCATTTATACTAATTAAGAACAAGGTGCTTAGTGCTATTTTTAATATCCCTATCCATTTCAACCTTTAGTCGGTTTCATCAAATTGACCGTCTGAAGTTTGCTTTATGCCTCACAATGTCAAAATGAGCAACAGGCATGTTTGTTTTAAATACCTTGATGTCTACAATTTACAGGAAGATAAGTAGCTTGCAGTAATTACGATTGTTTTATGTAGCCAATTCCCTGGAAGGCAGGAAAAAAGACTTTTCTATCCTGTGTCTTCTTTTCTATTTCCAGAAGCTGGGAATGGGCGACAGGGGATGGATCACTTGATGATTACCTGTTCTGTTCATTCCCTCTGGGGTACCTGGCATTGGCCACTGTCAGAAGACAGGATACTGGTCTAGATGGATCTTTGGTCTGACCCAGTATGGCTGTTCTTATATTAATACAAACACATAATATGCCAATACTTCCTATGACCATTGCCCATGTATACAAATTTGGCAGCTACTTTTAGAACTGATATTTTGGCAGTTTTCAGCATGTAAAATTTTCACTGAGGCGGGTGGCGGTTGGGTGCAGCACCTGATAAAGATGCTCTTCAAATTGTATCTTTACAGCTGTTTTAGAAAGAAGGGGGTCTTTGGAATGAGACATCCTTACCCACTAGTCATCCCCAAAAGGCTGGGTTGTAAGGGTAGTAGACTAATAATTACCCTTTTGTTTTATTAATATTTTTTCATGAAAACAATTAAATTACATTACCTATTAAAAAGTGGACACCCTGTTTCTTCCAAGACCCCTAAAAGCCTGCCACTCAGTAAGTTTCAAGTGTGAAATATCCATACTAACCCTGGCAGAAATGGTTAAATAATGTACCTACATTTCCAATCTCCCACACACTCTGCCACACACCTGTTCAGAACAAAATACCATTGTTGGGTGGCTGGAAAGTGGGGAGGTAGAGAGGAATAGGTGATAAGGTTTTTGACATGATCTGCAGACTGAGGAGTAATTTATGAGTTTTCAGTGGTAAAACTGATGTAAATGCTCAAAGAGAGCACAACTTCATTTGTCCATACACTGGTAATGTTTTTTTACTCTGTAAAATTAAATGTGAAAAGCATAAATACAAGGGACCATTACCATGCCTTTGATGGACACATGGAACTTACTACCAATGTCAATGGGAGGTCTGCAGATCCCAGTGTTAAACAGAAGTTTCACAACTCTTCCATTTTTTAAAAACTTTAAAAAATTCATTTCTAACTAGCCCAGATGACTATCCCTCTTTTCCTCCCCCCCTCGCCCCCCCAGGGGAGTACTGCAATAACCTAATGCAGAAGCGATTTTCTTAGCACTGACAACAAAAATTTAAGGCTTCAAAAGTTATGTCACTTATCTCTCTTAGCTGGCTAATCTGCTAAACTTAAGAACTCAGTCTAACAGCTAACAGTCTACCTGCTTGAATTTCCCAATGCCAACTAGTATACAGCTACGAAGAGCGGAAGTTCTTTTTCTTTTCCAAGTGAGATGACAGCTCAATAGGCAATGAGAGTAAGAGAAAGTCAATATACAAATTCTATCAATGGGAGAGAACTATGATCTGAGTATTTATAAAACAGCCTATCACCAGGGTATCTAGGTGCTAATCAACAGCCAGCATCAGTTCGCTGTCTGATACTTAAGAGACTTGGACTTGAAAATCTTGTACTTCACACTCCTGTTCCCTGGCCCCTCTCTAATCCCAGAAACAAAAAGCATAACCCCTAATAGCCTTCAATAACTTAAACCAGTGTAAAGGAAAACTTTAGAAAATATGTTAATAGTAACTAGGAAAGAATGGAACTAAGATAAAAGCCAAATTCTGAGTCTTTAAGGAGAGATTTATTACATATACAGGATCTGAAGACCTGCAGGGCTCTAACTGTGCTTCAACCTAAGACGCAGACAGTTTCAATACAGAAAACTAATTGTGCAGCAGATGCTCAGACAGATGGAATACTCAAAATGAGGCCGATGTTTTACAGTGAGCAGAGGGGAGCAACCAACTAACTGCCATGAATCTATCAGTGTGAAAATATGCTTTAAAGCCCCATATCAACACTGGTACTTAAGTATGTGAAGGGTCCCACTGATTTCAGTAAGTGCTCATTTGCTGTAATATATACTCTCATGCTTTTTTTAAAATCACATACTAATCTCAGTTACTGAAAATCTGACCACTGAAGCACTTGGTATAGTACTTTAAAAAAGTAACACTGAGAACTCAACTCAAACAGCAAGAGTATTTTTACATCTACATTCGATGTTTTATGTAGTATGGTTGTGGCAAATTGATCTATACATTACAGCTTTTGTATTTTGTTCAATTAGAAGTACGATTCCTAACCCCAGAACTGCCCCTTTACTACACAACTGGACTTTGGTGTACAAAAGGAGGCAACAGTATGGGCTGCTTATTTACATATTTTAGCATAGTCCTCTAGTTGCAAGATCTAACCACAGAATATTCAAGTGGTTTGTTTACACAGCTGGATGGATTACGAACACAAACTATGAAATACAGTAGTTTAAGGAGACACTAAAAAACAGCCCCGAGAAAGATTTAAGAGTGGTAGCCATGTTAGTCTGTATCACCAAAAAACAACGAGTCCTTGTAGCACCTTAGAGACTAAGAGAAACTTACACTTTATCCTGCCGTCCTCCACCTCCACGCAGTATGACTGGCTGGCTGTTTTGAGTAAACGCACCTCCCCCACGAATTGCACTTGGATGAGTTGGAGAAGCTGCTGGATGCTGGCCGGGACGGATAGGCTTAGCTACACGAAATAAAATGTGACTGTTAGAAATCATACACCAAGCAATTCTAATCATTTGACCTTTTATTGTTTAAATTCATTAATATTTTGTTTTATGACACCCTGAGAAATGCATATTTTTACTATTTGCATCATGCTTTCTAAAATGAGAAAAACATTTTTAAAATCTAAGGAAGTGATGTTTTGGGGATTATAACAACCACATTGTTATACTCAGGTGATGTATCATATGATTGGTTGTATGAAACAGATGAATGCTAATTAGGATAATTAAAATTAGGTTCACAAGGCTGCAACAACTGTTGTAGGCAAAAGCTTGCTCTTAGATGTCTAAGTATCTTTTAAAACCAACTAGGTGAAGAACTATGTGCAAATTCAGTTACTCTGTGCCTTAAGGCCCAACCAGGCTGATTCTGCCTCATCAAGAAAACAAGCTACTGAAGTTTCTGCTGTTGTTATATCTGAGCTTCTTGAGTTATGCAGTTGCAGAAGCTGTGCCCTATCCAAAGGTGGAGGTGCCAACTTTTTGCTAATGGCTAAGGTGTACCACATCAGGCATTCAGCAGTTGCTGTCAGATCCTCCCTTCAAAAAGCTGAATCAAAAGATCTGCCAGTGTGATCACCATATATAGCAACAGGGTTCATGGTGGTTATGCATTCTCTTACATCCTGACAAGGTATCTTCTTAGCTGACAGCATCAGCTGGAGAAGTTTTGGGGCCTAGGCTGAAAGCTAGCAGGGTGAAGTCTTATCTTGGCAAACAGCTGCTACGCCCTGACAAAAATGAAGCTATGGCCCTTATCGAGCTACAGATTCTCTTCCTCTTTAGGAATCCCCCAGGGAGAGGATGGGAGATCAGGGACAGGAGCACTACCATCACTCTCCAGCAACTCAACATGGGAAGGGCCTTTTCTCCCTCATCCTTTCCCAATTTATAGCAAAAATCATAAAATAGGCCCAGGACATGTCCCACTCTCCTCTTAGGGCTCTGAAGTTGGAGCAATTTCTCAAGCCTAGCTGACCTCAGCAGTAGGAGAGAGGGTACAGCTCTAAAACTGGGATTTTGGAAGCACAAGAAGCTCTGTGCTTGTGTTACAGTTAAAGTTGGTATGCTCAGAGAAATCTGCATGCACAATTCTATAAAATTGGACTAAAATAGTTTACCTCCCCCCTTCCCTGTCCAGCTAGCTGTTGGCCTTTCACAGAAAGCCACTCTCTGAATAGGTCAGCCCAGGGCCTTTTTCTAGCATATCAGAGGCCTCTCCCTATGCTCTGTGACAAAGGTAGAAAGAGACCCTCAAATCTTCCCCATTCCCTTGTCCTTCTGGTGATCTAAGAGGAAGCAGAAATAAGGGACTATTTTCCCCCCTCAACGCAAACTACTGTCTGCACAACCAAAACCATTTTAATACAGCAGTTCTCCCCCCTACTTCTGCAGCAAACATAAGACACTTTCTGCAGGGTTTATCCTGGTCCCATTTCAGAAGTATGGCTTTTGGGGGAGTCGGGCAAGATGGGAAAAGCTTTTCCAGTCCTGTCTCAGGGCTTCAGTGAAGACTGGATTAAGGTTAGTGGATGAGGTGGTGCTCTGCTATTGACCAGTGGGGAACGTTCGCTCACTGCACTGGCCCCACCCCAGCAGCACAAGGAAAATTTTCCAGATTCCTACTTCTTTGAGCAACAAATCTTTAAATCCATTTTCAATATAGACTGATTGGCAAGATTCTACTGTGTTTTCAGGTTTAAATAAGCAAATACTCTTGATGTTGTTTAATCTGCCATTGAAATCTGAAGTTGAAAGCTGTTACTGTATAACACAAGAAAAATGGATAATAATGCTGTGTTAGATCACCCTCAGGTTAGCTAGACCGGATATCAGAATTGTTTTCAGTGACTTCCCACAAATAATAGAAGAATTTATGTCAAGTGAACTCCTGTTTAATAACTGGTATTTTGGATTAATGCGAGCTATAAAAGTTGTCTAGTGACTCATATCATTTTTTGGATACAGAACTTGCTCTCTGATCATACATTTCTTCCCAGCCTTACCAATTTCTGTGAATGCAAGACATTTTAGAGAGATTAACTCTTTTCATCACTTTCTGTTCCCAGCATTAGAATGGCCATACTGGGTCAGACCAATAGTTTGTCTAGCCCAGTACCCTGTCTTTTGACAGTGGCAGATGCGGATGCTTCAGAGGGAATGAACAGAACAGGGTGATTATTGTGTCTGTCATACAGTCACAGCATCTTGCAGTCAGAGACTTGGGGACATCCAGAGCACAGAGTTGTATCTCTGACCATCTTGACTAACAGCCATTGATGGACCTATCCTCCATGAACTTACCTATTCTTTTTTGAACCCAGTTAAATTTCATAAACATCCCCTTGGCAACAAATTCCACAGGGCAACATCCTCTTTTTAGGGATGATACCATCTTATTCTTTATGTTGTGTAATAAATCATGGTAGGTGATAGCTGCTCAGGTACTAAGCCACAGCATTAAATCCTTGAGTAAAAAGCACTATATTTTGATTGGCAAGCACCTTCAATATTTAAGCATGCAGAGGAATGGCTTTACAGATTATGATAATTACTGCGCATAGTAACTTGTACCTATCCTACTGTTTAAAGTGGAAATTAGGGTAATTTTTTATAAATTAATAAAATTTATGTTCTATTCCATGTTCTTATACTGTTCTCACCACCACAGTATCCAAGTGCCTTACAGTCTTGCATTAAGAGATTTGAGTAACATCCATCACATGTGGTTTTGTTCTCATCCTCGCTAGAGGGGAAATTTTGCAAGCAATGGAGTGTTTTGAGATTGGGCTTTTTTTGTTTGTTTTTAAGTACATGTTGCTTTGTACTGATATTAGAGAATGCAAAGTTGAAAGAATGGACCTTGCATTCGGAATGGAAGTTGATGAGGATTGTTGTGTTTAAGTTCAAAACATTGAATTACAGAAGTCTTAGATCTTGCATTTTCTCCTTGGATTTTCCAGTTTTAGAGAGACATGAGAGTCAAGTTTTGATGAGATCCTTCTATTCAAAATACATAACTAAGCAAATCAATTACCAAAAAAGTACTGTGAAAATTGTGTTTGTTACTTTAGCAAAGGCATTACTAATTTGCTAATGAAATTGAGTACACTTAAGTTTCTTGTCCCTTCCCTTGTTTTGATAGCCACTTCGTAATCTTGCCATCACAAAAGTATAACAGACTTGCAGAGCAAATTATAGAATTTTTTGTTTATGTTCAAACTTTTGTTTTTAAAGGAGACAGAACATTCACCTTGGTAGTTACTGTTCCATGCAGGTGAGGTTTTATATGGTGTGAAAGCCCACCCACCGAAAAGACAAATCACGTCAATAAAGCAATGACTTACAAATATTTGCATGTACGGTACACTGAAATTAACTTCTGCAGTTTTTGTACTAAGTGATAAATCCTGCCTTTTTTCACATGTGCAACTCTCACTGACATTACTAGGAGCTGCAGGCATGTATGCAGGACAGAATTTGGCCTTAAGTTATCCAAAAAGAAGAAGAATAGAAAGGAAAGGAAAGTTAACCAAAACATGTTTGGAAACTGCGGTATTTTCTTTACTAACCAATCTGTGCAGAGTGTCCTCTTCTGGCCATGTTCTTGGATCTCACGGCTTCCTTAATACGGTCTACCTCTTGCTGATATCGTTTGCGATCACGAGATGCATTCTCTTTGGCTTCCCTTAGTGCAGACTCCAAAGCTTTAACTCTCTCAGCTGTAGCTCTAAGTCGTTTCTCCAGTTTAGGAAGCTCACAGCGAAGATCTGCATTATCACGTACCAGCTGAGGATAAGCAAAATATCTTTAATTTTTCCCTGAAAAAATAATAATTATACTGTAGCAAGATGAAAGTAACCATAATAGACGGGACAATACTTACTTTGTTGAAAGTTTAAACTGAATAAACTAATTAAAATAATAAATATGAGCAGTAAAATTTCCTGTTAAGTATTAAGAGTCAATAGAACTACACCACTTAACTATAGATAGATACCACTGTATTATATATACACAAACACACCACCATTTCAGTCTAAATTGTAAAAAACCTTCACAGGAATACATTAGTCTATGTATTTAATATTAAAATTTGAAGTTAAAATTTGAGACAAGCAAGCATCTCTGAAGTGTATGAACAACTACTCCAGGATACAAATATGTACACATGCATTATACCTTTAAAATACATCTCGAACAAGGAACAGTTTTTGAAGTTCTAAAGTTAATTTCATTTAGTCTTAAGTTTTACTATACCTGTTTGTGGACTTTTGTAAGCTGCTCAAGATTATTCTCAAGAAAGGAAATTTTCTGTTTTTGCGCAGCACTGCCTCCCGTATCATCTGAGTCAATCTCTGCACTCTATGGTAATAACAGAAAAGAGTGATACATTACATTAAATTAGTTAGGCTCACTTACTTACTACCACATTTAAATAGAGACAAGTCTTGCTATCATGCCATGTTACCTTTTTAACTCTAGTAGCCAGATCTTGAACAAACAGCTTCCGAAGGTTGTGTAGTGTTTGAAGTTCTTTTGCCTAAAACAATAAATAAGTATTTTACAGCTTACAATTCTTAACAGGAACAAAAGTTACAAGCATTTATCTTAAGTACACATTGTAATAACTTACCACAGTCTCTTCCAAACCCTTCAAATCTTGTCTTGCTTGTTCTCTTCTGTCTTGCATAACCCTAACAATCAAAACACAATATATATATACACTAATACAGCTAAACATTTATATTTGTGTAAAATACAAACCTTATAAATCCTATTTTAGGTTCCAAAATGAAAGGAGATTAAGTCCTTAATTATGCAAAGTGCAAAACCACCCTACAATCAGTCACAAATGGCAGAGAATTCAAGAGCCCAAGACCAGAAGAGCAGGGATATGGTGAGAAAATTTGTATACAATTAGTGTTAAAAGAGATTTTAATAAGTCAGTTCAGACAGCTGAGTTATAGAACATCCTAAAACAGCTATATTAACATACCAGAGGTTGAAAAGTTCTGATTATAGGTCCAGAGCCATTGCTTGGAAAGATCTACTGTTCCTACAAATATTTCTAACATTGACTGGTCAAGGAGATAACAGATATTATGTGCGGGTGGGCTGACGGATTTATTCAATTTGAAAAAAACTTTTCATGTTGTTTTACTGATCTTTCTTTATATATGAGCAGTTCAGATTTCCATTTTCCAAAAGATACAACAGCCTAATGATACCAATCACATTATAGGGCTCTCTCAATCATCCTATTTAAGATTCGTTCCTGAGAAATAAGCATCAACTTTATTGTTAAGGGCTCTGGTTTCAGCTTCTTTCAAATTATGAGGCAATTGGAGAGTTCAGGCAGAATACTGGGGAAAGGACCCAGGAACTGTATTTTGATCAAAAACATAGCGAAGGGTGAAAAGTAGGGAATCAGTGTTGGGTTTAAGGAGAAAGGAAACCAAACTTTGCAAGTTTTTTTTTCTGTCTTTATAACAACAATTTCCTCCCACCCAGTATCACCAAAAGTCTAAATTGATTAAGCTATTCAACCACTTCTAATGCTGCAACAGGAAACGCTCATGAGCTCCAACTACATTTCAGATCTCATCTGGAGGGAGCCACAGCAAATTTATAAATATGTTTTTGAGTTTGAGACTAGAGAAGTTTTACACTGTTAGTATTCAGCATGGTCTTTGGTTTGAAAAGGCCATGCACATTTATGATACTGTACTGTATTGTAAAAAGTTAAAAATGAATACCTTGGCCTACACTTTAAAATCATCTAATTGTGATAATCTTACACTTCATGCCATCAAAACTTCATATGATTCAGTTATGCATACTGTATGAGGAACTGCTAGATTAAGAGATTAATGCTTGATATAATTTGGTCCCAAGTTGCTTTCAGATGGTATAAATACAGCACCAGAGTTTCTAACTCCTACAGTTCAAGATGGCAGATACAAAAATTGTGTTGGAATTGAAGCTTTAGGGATGTGGACATAAAGCAAGAGTTAGAATGAAGTGACTTTATGGGCCAAAAAATCGTAACCTACCAGGATATAAAACAAAGCTGCGTTTTCCACTGGTGTAAGGGCATTTGTTTAAAAATCTCTGATGATTGATAATATTAGACCTTAGACATACTTTGGCTGCCATCACTCTAAAAGGGATTTTGTTTTGCCATTGGTCATTGACTAACCAGCAGCTCCCAGACCAATGTAACCAAGTTCATAACTGATTTTCAAGTTTTAGCTACACAAAATTAAAATCTCCTACAAGTTTGCAGGCATGAATAAAAATTTCAGGTTTTGTCTTTATGGAAAACTACAATACTACAGGGCAAAACATGACACCCAGTAAATGTAAATTACATAGTTCTACAAGTCAGTCAATAAAACAATGCATTCAACTCTCTGGTAACCCTTCCAAATACATGCTCACCAATTTTCTGTAAACTAGAATATGTTCTGTGTCCCAATCCCCACATAAATCAATGAATTTTTGGACAAAGTCTTTAAAAAGATATCCATGAGAGCTCCTCTGGCTAGAGGCATTTAGAGAAATTTCTTTTTACATTTGTACATCCAATTTTGAGCCATCATAACCAATTCCCTTAAACAGTTTATTTAGTTTCCTGAAGAAGTCTATACGAGAATTCAATCTTGCATGCACTGGGCAAACCATTACCCATTTTAAATTTGGCATGTGGGTAATCCAAAATGGTTCTCCCATAAAGAAATGGCATTACAGCCAACTAAATGGTAGCATGTTTATTTGGGGGGGGGGAGGGGAAGGGGTGCCTCAGAATGAGGTCACACTTTCAGACTTTGATTTTTAAAAAGAGGAAGGGGAGAACAGTGAGATGAGAGGAAGAAAAAATATTGAAGATGAGTGAACAATCCTACAAGTAGTAGCCCATTTCCACTTCAGAACAGTAATGGAATTCCTAAATTACAATAAAAACCTCAAGTAACTGTGGCTGCCATGGGGAGGGAAAACAATTCTCTTAAAACACAGACTATTCTTTGAAGCAAAGTGGCACCAAACTAATATAACATTCTAATACTGGAGGAATTATCATGACTATAGATGGTGTGGCTGAGCCAGAATAAGCAGAGTTCTGGAGGCTTTAAGTAATGTGTAAGGCTAAGATTCTGTCACAGGTATTTTTTTTTTAGTAAAAGTCAGGGACAGGCTGAGGACAACAACAAAAAAATTCATGGAAGCCCACGACCTTGGGGGGCAGAGAGAGACAAACAGAGCTGCTGGGGCTTGCAGCTGCTCCAGCCCTGCAGGGGCTGACCACTGCTGCTCACCCAACCCAAGCCACTGCTCTAGTGTCCCCTCGCCAGCCAGTTCCACCTGCCCCCTGCTCCAGGGCTGGATGGTGGCCAGCTGTTCCATCAACCCCCGGGTGGCCACCAGTCAGCTGTTCCAGCAGCCGTTGCTCCAGCAGCCCAGGGCTGACAGCTGCTCCGGCCCTGCCTCAGAAGTAGTCTCAGAGGTCTACAGAAAGTCACAGAACTCGTGACTTCTGTGACAGAATCGTATCCTTAGTAATGTGTTAAGTAATGAACATCTCCCACACCACTTCATCTCACTAGTATTTACAATTTTAAGATTTGCAGCCACACATTTTCTTGCCTGAAGTATGATTATTACTTACGTAAGTTCATGCAGTTTTTTGCTTTTTTCCTGATCTGTAGCTCTCAGTTTCTCATGCTCAACTCTAAGACGTTCTTGCTCAAGCATCATCTTCTGGTTTTGGCTGGACACAGAAAGTTAGGATTAATATACAAATATATAGAAACATAATGATACTCCAACAATGCTCCAAGTCTTCATCGTTATATGCCATTCTTAGCAAAACTAAGCTGAGACAGAAAGTGCTCTGCTCCCTTTAATAAAGGATTATAAGGTCCAAAAGGAATCTGTTCAGACTGCATTATAAATTTAATCAGAAATCTTTGCAACTAATTGTTACGCAGGACTGATTATCTGATAGATGATCAGCAAATGAAATGCTCTGTCAAATGAATGAACTCTTTATCAAAGCATCATGCTCACATTAAACAGGTTTACAATGCTGGAAAGGTTTTTTCACTATACCAATAGATGCTTAGTATATTATCTTTATTTTATCCACACTAAAGTTAGGATTTCCAAATGCTAAATGCCATTGTTTTTTCATTACTCATCACTTGTAGAAACCCTGAAACTCAGCACCAACAGACCAGTGTAAAAAAAAAAAAAAAAAAAAAAAAAGATGACATTCTTTGCTTTGAGCACTGTACCTCAGGTGACACCACAGTTATCCTACTCACTACTATGAAGAATGGTTAAAGACTTAACTGAAGAACTAATTAAATCAGAATAATCAAATATTACCCAGAAATTAATATCCTAAGGAATTCAGTAATCTGCTAGGTATAAAAATTTAAGTAAAAATCAATAAAATATTTTAACAGCACAACTCTTACTCTTGGAGTTCAGTAATAAGCTTCTCCTTTGCATCAACCTCATCTCTTAAGCTACTAATTTGCTTTTGATGGGTCTCACGGTGGCTTTGAATCTGCTGCTCAACAGCTTGCTATAGACAAAAAAAATTGTTTTACTATTTAAAATATGAAGTTTTATATAAAACTATTAAGGAACAGCAAAATACATTAACTTGCCTTGACTTCATTTGCAGTTTCGACCTTATTTAAGTGCTCCTTCTCCATTTCATGGACTTTTTCTAATGAGAAAATAAAGTTTTCAGTTACAGAGCCTAGTCAATCATAGGAACAACTATCAGATTTACACTTACGTTTCATTTTAAACCTTGAATTAGGTTGCATGAAGTTTTTCGTATGCAGACAGATTAAGGTGCAGTCTTATATCTGTATCTTAATCCTTTTCTGAATAGTTCTTTCAGACAAGTGTCTCCAAATACATTATCTCTAACTACTTTACTTTGTTTTCTAATACTTCTAAATTACACATTATATAGCACTAGATTGCTATCTTAATAAGACAAACACTAACCACATATCTTCTCCAATGCCAGTTATGCATACTGCATAGCCACATTAATGGTTACATACTTAAATATAAAGAATAATTCAGACCCTGTGCCCGAAGCTGGACTAGTTCTTCATTAAGGGAATCCACAGACTCTTCCAGTTGCCTCCTTTTTTGTTCCACGTTCTGAAGATATTCTGTCAGTGACTTGATCTTGGCTTCATGCTTTCAGAATGAAAACGAGATTAATTTACGTTTAATCTAGGCATATGAAAATGAAGTTCCATGCAAGACTTAAAATATTAAAAATTTTAAAAGGCAAAAATAACTAATCTGAAAACCAAATGCATACAAATATTCTCCTTTTTTAGAAAAAGGAAGGCTTGACCCAATTCAGGATCAAGACCCTCATAGTATGCCTTGTACAGACTATCATAATACTTCAAAAACCTCTGCTCACACGTAAATACATTGATGGAATGAGAGAAAGGCAAGCTACAGATTTTTATCTTTGCACATCAGGGGGATAAAAAATTGTTTGTTTTTTGGGAAAAATATAAAAGTTTTTAAAATTTAAATATATTATTTAAATAATTATTTAAAAAAATAAACCTGTTTACAATTAAATCTGAATCTAATGCAAGATTTGTTAAGGCCTAAAATTATAATCTCTTAAAATATTAAAATAAAAAATATGCTGAATCCACGAGTCTCTATCAAGAACTGAGTTAAATGCTGCTTTTCTCTATAAAGAAAGTCAGGGGAAAAATATCTAGCTTTTAAGGTCAAACTTTATAAATATGGCATTATACATCATATACTGTTTAAGGGTTTGATCCTGTGGGGGGATCCAGGGGCTGTGCTACTTGGTGCAAGAGACTGGCAAAATCACCACAGGCACTGGAATCTGGCCTCTGACTTCAGGAGACATCATCATGCATCTCATTAGGATCATCCACTCCTGTTTTATAGCTTCTCTCCACGTGATCTCAAATTATGAATATTTAAGATTCCACCTTCCATTGAAACTTACTCTCCAGCTCATGGACAAACACCGATCTGCCTAGTAACTACCAGCCCTTGCTTTCTGATGGTTCTGGACACTTCAGGTAAATGACCTCCTTGCTCTGTCTCATGGCATGTGTACACAGAGTTACAAACAGAAATCCATTAATTTCTCAATTGGCTCCCTCTATCTCCAAACAAAATACTGCAGTGCAAAAGGCATGTGGGTTACACAAGCAACAATCCTGGATTGTTGTTAGCCCTTGTTTTTCTGGAGGTAGTGATGGCGTAGATATGTAATAAGGGAGAAGTAGTGTGCATAACCCAAAGAGAGCAACACTGGTGTCAAAGCAGGACACTGTGTGAAGAAGGGATGACATTCATTTGAGTGCAGCATCTACTGTTGATTTCAGCACCTGGAAACAGGAGGAAAAAACTGCTGTGGCTGCACGCCATAGTCCCTGTTTGGGAACATTTTCAAGAAAACCCTGTACCTCTGAGTAAAAAAAGGAACATGTGCCAAATGTAAACAGTGCAACCAAGATGTAAGATCTAGTGGTCAGAATGAAACATTATGAAAAATGCTTCTCAGAATGCAATGACTCTGAAGATGATGTGGACATGTTTGAAACAATTTGGATCAACTGATTGGTCAACTTAGTTTTGCACCATTCTTAAGCACTGCCTACCATGTTTTACTATGCTAGTGAATAATAAATTTTTGACAGTAATCTAAGCTGAGTTTTGGATGGCTTGATTCCTTATGAATTTCAAAAGTGTGTGTGCTCAAATGTTTGGTATGTTAGTTTGCTGTGGGAGTAGTTATCAGTTACATTTTACAGTAACTGCTGAACTTCTGAGACAATTTTTTATTGCTAACATGATCAAATATCCTAGGTGCAGATTTCCTGTTTAACAGTAAAGTTTTATCAGGCATTCATGAATTTTAACATTTAAATTTTTTTTTCTCCAAGCTGTTTGGTATGTTGCTAGAAATAAAGACTTAAATAGATTTAGATAATACTTATGATTTATTATTTTCCCTATGAAGTTGGGTTTACAATAAGTTATACTATTTAAACAGCTGCAGTACGTTGAATCAATTTACAAATCTCAGTGCACCGCTTTAAAAGTGTACTGAGTAATACTCAGCGTGAGTGGGACTTTTTTTTTTTTTTTTTTAAACATTTTGTTTCAGGGCCCAGCTTAGACATAAAGAGTTATGAACATCCATCTGCAATGTCTACAGCTTCAGAGCCATCTGCTGGTATTACCAGCAGTGCTGCAACTAACAACAGACACCAGAGAGTAAATCACCTGCTTAAAAACAAAAAAGGGAGACTTTCTTCGTCATCCAGTAAAATCGTGGAAGAACTTATCATCTAGATCAGCAAATTCCAGCAAGACTCCATAGATGAAAAAGATGCATGGTTTATTTATGCATGAAGTTCTCCCCTTTTGTCTTGTTCAGGACAAATATTTTATTGATATGGTACAATCAATATGACCAGGCTATACTCAACCCAGCAGAGCAGACATTGCTGGAAGGTTGCTGGATACAGTGTATGAGAAGGAAATGAACCGTGTGCAAAAAACATTGACAGGAAATTTGTTAATTGCGGTCTTGATGGTTTAGCCATGCACACACTGATCCAGTAATATGTGCTGTGTAACACAAGATGTGGTTGTTTATCTTACCGAAATAATTGGAGCAGTCAGTAAATGCCCATATATCAGAATACTTAAAAGAAACAGTAAAAGCTATAACAAATTGGACAAAAATTCAAGTGTCAAATGCATAGCTTTGTCAGAGGCAATGCTGTAAATGAAGTAAAGATGAGAGGAAATCTAGAAGATAATGAAGGGAACCTGAAACTTATAACATGGGGGCCACGCTCATCTGGTGCATCTTTCAGCCAAAGATGTAAATACAACTGCATGAATAAAGGAAAATGTTGAAAGAGCAAAATACTTCCGTAACAACCACTTTGCTTCAGCTTCACTAAAGAGAGCAGGAGGATCCAAATTAATTCTCCTCCAAGACGTATGATGGAATTCAGTGGTTGACTGTTTTGTGCTACTTATTAAGAACTGGCCTATTCTGATGACAATTTGTAAGGAAAATTGTGACAAAACAAATGAAACTATCTAAGCCAAAGTATGGATTTAAGAGACATGAAAATAGGCTGGAACTGAATACTCTGAAATTTATTTCCATGGCTTTGGACAAACTGCAGAAAGATTGCTGCTGTATTGCTGATGCTGTTGAAATTTGGAAGTGTACTTCAAGAGACACTGAAGAAAGAAATGCCCCAATAACAAAAGTTAAATTGCAGGCAGTAAGGAAGTGGATGGATCAAGGTCTTACTCCATCTCATTTTCTTGTCAATATTCTCAACCCAAAATACCAGAGTAGATACCTAAGTAATGGAGAAGATGCTGCTGTAACAAGGGCATCACCCATCAATCATGGCAAACCTATTAAATTTCAGGAGTGGAGGTGAACCACTCAAGTAGTACATGTCTGCTGCTGCTGTTTTAAAGAAAGTCACACCAATGAACTGATGGAAGTCTGTAGAACCAGACATTGTTGAAATGCTAACCCAGCTTTTGACAGCACTAGCTTCTTCTGCAGGCATAGAAAGAATATTTTCTTCATTTGGACTCATTCAAAGTTGACAAACTGATTGGGAGTTGAAAAAGCAGCCTATGAATAAAAATGAGGTGGGAGGGGATGATATTTACTGTTTTAAAAGTCTGCAGGACAGCCTACGTAACGTAAGAGACTTCCGTCTCATTTTCAAGAGACTTAGGTGAGTAGGAACTTCAGCTCCAGTCACTTTTACTTAGGTATATTTGAAAATTTTCCCAGCAGACCTGAAAAAATCAGTTTAATTCATTGACTATTGTTAATACTTGTTTCTTTAATAAATAACAGAGTTGTAAATGTGAAACATGTTTTGATAAGTTTATGTATCCAAAACATTTAAGGTTATTTTGTTCAATAAAAATAAATGTTATATGTGGTTGTGTGTGTTTGTTTAAATACCAGTTACCATCCTAATGCAGCTTGACACACAACAAAAAGTTAATTATCTAGTAAATAAATAAAATTTCATTCACCATTTTCTAACATACTTAAAATGTATAATTAATAAGAATCTGAAAATATAAAGCTATATAGTTGCTTAAATAAATGTATATAGTTATAGTGCAGCTTCCTAGGTATCAAAAAGATGTACCAAATCTAGTGTGGAGGCTCTATTTAGTTGTAAATCAACATGTTTTAATAGTTAGATCAACCAATGACAATGCATCTTTCTTTAGAAAGATAACTGAAGTATAAATGGAAAAGTTGATTCAAAATGATTATTTAAATTGCCCTGATTTAAATCAATCTACCCTGTTGCACTTGAGGATTTATCTACCCAGAAATGGAAAGTTGCTTTCCCTATAAGATGGAGATAAAGTCATACCAGTCATACAGAGAAAGGAATTAGGGGAACAGCCAGACTGTTACATATAGACAGTTAATTTGAAATTTTTGAAAAGCTCAAACGAAAAAAAGAGAGCACTTCTACTGTGATAACCTCCTCATACTGTGTCTAAACCCTGATGCCTTTCCTCCCCTCCTCCTTTCAATTTGTGTTTAAACTGGCTGTCTCCTCAGAGCACTTCAGAAAAAGGGCAGCTTTTGTAAGCTTTGAGAAATTATTTGTATGCAACACTCTTCCAGCAGCAAAAAGAATGTCAGCCAGTCACAAAGAAAGATTAACCCAGTACAAGAATGTCGTTTCAGTGTTAAATAGAAAATTATGGAAATGGAGATTTAAGTCTAGGGACCTATAGTGGGGTTTTAAGACATCCTAAACCACATACCTGTGCTCTCATGTTTCACAGGAAGCATTAATCCCTTGGTGTCTATAGTTCTCAGTGCACTTTGTATCAAGAATTATAAGATTTTTTAAAGATAATCTTAAACACTTTAGTGTATTGCCGATATTAAAAACAGGTTGAGGAATACACCATTAAGACCGTTTGAAGAATCAGATGCCTGATTTCTCACCTGTTCTGCAAAAAGAAGTTCAGATCAAAACCTCTGAATTACTATTTTTAAAATCTGACTTGAAAAAGAGTTCTGTGTAAGCTCGAAAGCTGGTTTTCCACCAGCAGAAGCTGGTTCAATAAAAAGATATTACCGCATCCACCTTGTTTGTCTATTTTCAAAATTGTATGCTATAGGTTAAGTGAGAGCAACCTAGCTACTGACCAGTAACTTGATAACCAACCAACATAGGAATCATGTTTCAAAAGTGACTTGAATCAGCAAAGCTAGAGTAATGCAACGTTTACCTGTGAGATAAGAAGCTGACAAGCTGCCAGTTCCTTTTCGTTTTCTTCAATTGTTTTATTGCTTTCAGTTTGAGTGCTTTCTAGCTGCTTGCAGCGTTTTACCATTGTTTTCACTTCTGATTTCATTTTGCTAATGTACAGTCTTGCAACTGTGAATTCTTCATCTATCATGCCAGTTCCTTCAGGCTGCTGAAAGAGAAATTCAGAATTTGAAAGGTTTAAGTGATCAAAATATTCATATTAAATATGGGATGCGGCAGTTCAAAGTACAATCAGAAAACAGAAATGCCTAGTCCCTAGTACACAGTCATTGCACTGCTATTCAATTTCAGACCACGTTTATCGTAGCCACCGCTACTACTGTTTTTCATTTTTTCCTCTGCAGATTTAAATAAATTCATACACAACTTATATTAGCCTTTCTAGTGGGAAGCAGGTGGGGTTAAGTCATACTTATATTTTTCCCCTCAAGAAATTCTGACTTGTGTTTGCCAAGCTGTAGGTCACTGCAAGTGTTTACAGGTCAGCGACAAACTCTTCAAAATAATTTAGTTTGTTAGTCTATATGGGAATTTTCTAAGTGAACAGATGTGAGCATTTGAAAAGAAACTGTCTGAAGTGGAAAATGAAGTCGTCTTATACCCATAGGGAAGGTATAGGCAGCTGTAGTATCTTCTATACATGGCTTATTAGTTAACTCAATTACTCTGGAAGGAATAGCTATTCTAGAAGTAAAAGCAACCATTACCCGTCAGTGCTCAGCCTTTCCTAAGCAGGTACCATCAACTGTGCCAAATTATATCTGGTGATTTAGCAATATGGACTGAAGTGACTTAAGTTGAGGAATGTTTGCACTGTATTTGCATAGTTAGACTAAACTGTTCTTGGACATTTTTATAATAAGGCATAGTGTACAAAGTCAGTTATAAACACTGTATAAAGCTGTAAAAGGCAAATACTAACACTTGGGTTCTCTTTATCCTCTCTCAGAACCTTACAGGAAGACATTTATATGGTTACAGGTGTTATAAATTACCCTAGTTATTACATCTTTACTACACTGAAAAGATCTAAACATGAATGAATGTATCATTTTACATTTGTGACAGCTCCTCTTTACCTTTGCATCATTATTTCCTACTGCAATTCCTATTTCCGCAAGATCTTTTAATAAGGAGGCCATCATCTCTGTTGCCCGTTTTTTCTGGTGGTTGGTCATTTCTTTAAGTTTCTGAAGCTCTGCATCTATACTGGCTAAAGTTACCTAGAACAAGGAATGAAGGTGTAAAATTAGATTTTATCAGTTTAAATCCTTACATGGGAATATTTTTCTTCTTGTTTTTCATCCAGCAACCTTAAAATGAATTTTCTATTTTTTTTATTAAAAGTGCCCCAATCTGGTAACTACATTATGTTTTAAAAGTAACTGTTAAAAATCCTGTAAGCACTGTACAGTAGCATAATATGCAAGACAAAAGTTTGAACAACTAGCAGTATTTCACCAAAACTCAGAGTTCTTTTCTGAAAGACACAAAGCCCTTCAGCACACCATACATAATCCTGCAACTCTGACAATAATTCTGCCAACACCCTAGAAGAGCATTTATGGTTACATCTACCAATGTGAGACAGCACAGGGGGTTCTCTTAAAGACATTAAAATGGGACCCATCCGTATCTGCTTTAAAATGGGACCCATCCATATCATCACTGTATGTTTTGCTTGTGGGACAATTTAGATGTTTATCTGCAGTCCTCTGCACAGAAGCAGATTATATCAATTCCAGTCCATCCCTGCCTAGAGCTTTCTGAACAGATATCGCCGTGGGAGAAGTCTGTAAGCCCTGGTCTGCACTGGGGTGGGGGGGAATGATCTAAGTTACACAACTTCAGGTACGTGAATAATGTAGCTGAAGTCGACGTACTTAGATCGACTTGGTGAGTCGACTGCTGCCGCTCCCCCGTCGACTCTGCCTGCGCCTCTCGCGGTGCTGAAGTACAGGAGTCGACGGGAGAGCACTCAGGGGTCGATCTATCGCGTCTAGACTAGACGCGATAAATTGATCCCCAGTGGACTGATGGCTGCCTGCTGATCCGGTGGGTAGTGAAGACATACCCTAAGTTGTCTTTTTGTGCAGTGCCACTAATTCTAGAGTAGACATTCACAATAAAGGTATAACAATTTACACAGACTAAGGATTGGCCCATCCATGTGCAACCAACAGTTAACACTAAATCCAGGGTTAGACTTAAATTGAAAAGACCACTTTATGCCAATACCAGCTGCCAAACAGAACATACTTCTTCGTTGTTCTCCAACCTTAATTTTGATAAAGTCATCCAAAACACATTTAGATTCAGCATCAGAAACTTGTACCAAAAGACTGCCTTTTCTACAGACAGATACTGGATAATGGTAGACAGATACTGAATAACGACCCTAAGAGAACAGAGGGTTGTTTTAGTTTCCTTAGTCTTTGAGTGACTTCATTTTTTCCATTCTCACAAAGGTTTGCTGCCAGGTTCTTTACCTTCTGCTGAGTATCGATACAAAGGCTTGATGAATGCCGCCATACATGCCTGCAAGCATCAATGATAAATACTTATCACTATCACCTCAATCATCACAACAACAGAGATATCAATGCATTATCAAGGGAACCTTGCACCTGATGCGTGGTCATGTCCACCCTGTAGCACGTTAGTCTGTGAATTCTTTAAAGAAAGGTGCAACTTCTCCCACAGTTTGCTGATATTTTAGCAGGAAAGACAGTCCGCACAAATGTTGCCAACACTGCTCACTCTTAGCCTTGCATCCAAAGGCATCTTGGTATTCTGAACAATGGCTAGGGGACACTGTACCATAGGCACAGTGGGAAGGACAGCCTGTGACATCCTAAACCCAAATTGTACTTTCTACAATTGAGTGTTCTGCCATATTTTACCAACTGATCTAGAGTACAGTATAAGGGCCCCTTCTGTGGGAAGCATCTCTGTTCTTGGTACCATAATACCAAAGCCCTTGGGCTTTCCTAGACAGTCTCCATCTCAAATGCGATGGCTATAGCTACCTTTAAACAAAAAACAGAAAGCTGGATCATCCTGGGGGAACCTGGCAGTTCTTGCCCTTCTGAACAGTAAACAAATTTCTAACATTCCTGTTCCTTAGCAGCATTCACTTCATCCCAGACAAACATCAGTATGCTGTAATAACACTCAGCATTGTGGCCGCACTGGCAGCAACATACACTGTTTACAAAGAGACCAACAATGTGGACAAGGCAACGATGTTTATGGTTCCAAGACTCAGTGCATGGGCACCAAAGCCAATGCACCCAGGTATTGCAGGAAGCAGAGGACACTGACCATTACAGCTGTTAGGCCAGTGCTTCAGTACAAAGGCCAGGAACACCGCCAAAGGCACCAGGCCTATCCTGAAGTGATCAGAAACTTTTGGTCTCTGAAGCTAAGAGCAGAGTATGGTCCAAATCAAGCATGGTCCACTCTCAAAGCTCAAGATATACAGAGGAGACATCTTACTCAATAAAGCAGATTCAGGCACCTGAGGAGTCAAAGCCTTGACAGAGCAGTAGAAGTAGTGCATGGGATCCAGCTAGGTGTTTTAAAATGATGAGAATGACACCAGTGCCTGCATTTTTGGATTTATGGCACCAATATAAAGTCTCAAATCACTTTTAAGTCTTAAGACTGTTTTTTGAAAAGGACTTGGCTAAAGAACTGTACAAAACCAGAGGAGCTTTCAGGTGTGTTCACTGGCTCATGGCAACAATTGTTAACATATCCCACAGCCAATCATGGATGTTTCTGAAGAATGCCACATGTAAATCATACCATTCTATGACAGGCAAGTTAAAACTGCACTCTACACAGACTTAAAAGGCTCTGGCAAAAACTATTTTAAAAAAAGGTGGAGGGGGAAGCTACACAGAGGAGACTGTTTACACTACTTCTAGTAAAAATGTGAGGCCCATCCTTGTTGCTAAGGAATGATTTACTAAGATTAGAATAAAGCTTGGAATGCAAATAGTACACTTGTATCAAGGCAATTTTCAGAAGCCAAACAATGTTCCAATGAAGTTGGGATTAATAAGCTCACCATCACTGCACATGTTGTGACTCTCTGGACTGCAAAGTAGCACCATGAAACCCCCATATTCACCACGGTCATAGGATATATTTTGTACACTGAATGCTGGTGCGGTCTCATTTTATATCATTTTGGATTGTATGTACTATCATGGTATGTGAAGTTATGAAGTACTGCCCTATGCGTTAGTGAAATATGTTGTGAGGTTGGGAGACATCCATAGCTGGCCTTTCAGTAGGGACAAAAGGAACAACTATCACTGGCCAGACAGGTGTCGATGCCAATCAAGAAAAATCCACTGTCTCAGAGGCTTCTCAGTAAGGACAGCCTAACCCACCTCACAGCAAGGATCTTTCTAGCAGCTGGAAGAAAGTACAAAAGAGGGACAGTGATGTCATCACTTGGCCTCTCTTCCCCCATCTCAAAACCTGGAAGGTCATCTGAAAGACAAAGACTTTGAGCTGGGGAGATTGGTCCCAGACTGGAAAGGGCATCCAGCCTGTGTACTGAGAACTGTGAGCTGCCTGTATGATCTATTAGAGTGAGAGGCTGATTCAAATCCTCCTTAGTCTGTTAAAGTTAAAAATAAATTCACACTCAATTCTATTTCTTATGTAATCAACTTTGATCTATATACCTGCTACTTATAATCACTTAAAATCTTTCTGTAATTAATAAATCTGTTTTTATATTTTACCTGAACAGTGTATTTTTGGTTGAAGTGCTTGGGGAATCTCAGCTCAGATTACAAAGGCTGGTGCATGTCCACTTTCTTTTGATGAAGTGGCAAACTAATTAATGACAGTTGCACTGTCCAAGTGAGTCTTGAGCAATGTAAGACTGTAAATTTCTGGGGTACAAGGTTGCGGTGATTTGCTGGTGGCTCTCTCTAGGATTCATGAGTGGCTCATGGAGCATTCATATAATTTAGCTGGATATGAGGCTCCACCTGCTGATGGCTGAGTGATCACAGCGTCTCTTTTGATCACAGGAGTTTTGCTGCTTGTCACTGGCATAGCTTTGAGAGAGACAGCCCAGGCTGGAGTGTTATGGGGCAACAGTGGTCCCACAGTTCCAGGTCGTACCCTGGGATCCCTGTCACACCTGTGATCAAGGGAGGCCTGAAACCAATTATCCCAATTATGGCACAAACATGCCCAGAAGAGACAGGCCTGTCACTGACAAAGGGACACCAGTTGTCAATCATGTTTAAACAGAAAATTTATACCCGAAACAAAAAAAATGTAACTGGGATACATGCAGCAATGACTTGACACCTTACACCGAGTTAAGAAAAGTTAGTGATCAGAGGATCCCACTCCTAAGAAACTTTTTTGATAACTATAATCAGAAGGAAACTAAGCCTCTAAATGCAGACTGAAGTTAGCAGATTTCCAGCCAAGAGGGATGCCATAGGCCTGCTGCTGAGCACAAAAGTTTAGGATAACTATTTGAAGTCCCAAGCTGGCTTGCACACAGACACACAAGAGGGATTCCTGGAGTTAGGTTCTTTGGTGAAGTGCAAATTTAAAAATATTTTTGTACTGGTTCTAGATTGCTCATTTATAAAGTCTTTGTACTACTCAAGTTTGATAAAACCCACGAACAAAAAGATGGAGAAACACTTTCTAAAATCATTCCAGTGTCAAATAATCCTAATTTACCAGCACTCTTGTTCTTAAAAGTATCTGCTATCCACCCAACCTAGAATGTTTGGAGAGAAAACAAAAACAAAACCTTAGAGTTTTTCAGATCAGTCTGCAAAACAACGGCAGAAAACCCTTTTAGTTTTACAGACCTATGAGTGAACAAATTTTTCATTGGAAAATAGTACTGTCCTTGTGGACACAATAGACAAAAGTAAGTTTTCAAGAAATGTGTACATCCTGTAGCAAGCAAGCCCCTTATTATTCCCAACTGCTGGAAGAAAACATTACTTTGAATATTTCTAGGACAGCAGCACTAGTATTTTGTTTGTTCCAACAAATCAGTCACCATCAGGCTAGGAGCTTTAAAAAAAAAAAAAAGCTGGGCATGATGGCAGATAGCTATTTCAAATAAGGCCCAACTAGCTTTAGGTTGCTGACAGTCAACAAATACTGCCTCTTATGTACATCTAGTCACCATAGCAGAGAGTTTAGAACAAATCTCTCAAGCTAGTATCTCCAGTTATTTACTCATTGGCATAGCAAGGAAGTGAAATGTAAATAGAGTCAGCACAGCAAAGGGAAGAGAAGAAAAGAACATTCCCCAGACTGGAGTACAGCTGACAGAACTAAAATTTTTCATGCAAATGAAGATCTAGTCTGATATCACAAAATGTTTTTTAATTAAGAAACTCAGCAACTGGTTGGTAAGGAAACAAATGGAAACATCTATGTTGCCTGTATGAAACTGCACAATTTTTATATAAGCAATAAACACAAAGAAAATTGCGTGTTACTAGTGTGATGGAAGCAAAGGCAAAATTCATCCCAAAAACAGAGTAGTTCTGGAAACTGAATCAACAAGAAAAATATTTTACCTGGGTAATAGTTTTGAAAAGTATTGAAAGAATCCACAGGAAAGAGGATTAAGTAAATTATTCAAAACCTGACAAATATTAGAACTTCTGAAGCAGATCAAATAGAAGTATAGAGCAGAATCTTTCTCCATCTTTTGGTTGGTGACATACCGCTAACACCGGGACTAGGACGGAATGAGACTTGGACACCAAAAGCGCAAGGCAAACAGGCACTTCTCTCATCAATAATACAGTAACTGCCTACTTTCCACCCTTAATTGCTGGTAGCTTTTGAAGAGTGATAAGTTTGAATTGCCTACTGCATTAACGTGTTGAGAGTCACCACCTACCTCTGCTCACTTTAGTCAACAAAACTGACTGTACAACCTGCTGCTACAGCGACTTAACAGGATTTTGAAACCCCCCCAAGGCAAATTGCAAAAATTATTAGCTATGGAATAACTCTTCAAAAGGGCAACTCCAAGCCAAGGATCCAGAAGGGAAATCTGAGTGGCAGATATAAATTGCATTTTCTATCTTTCCCATTAACTACGATTTGTTGTTTAGATAATCAAATCAGAACTACACCTCTACCCCAATATAACGCAGTCCTCGGGAGACCAAAAAATCTCACCACATTATAGGTGAGACCGCGTTATATCGAACTTGCTCTGGCCCACCCCGTTCCTTTTTCACTGACTGCCCCCTCCAAAGACCCCTGTTCCTAATCACCCTCAGGATCCCACCCCCTACCCAACCCTCCTGCTCCCTGTCCTCTGACTGCTTCGAACCCTATCCACGCCCCCTGCCCCCCACTCACCGGCAATCCCAGCCCGCTCCACTCCGCCACCTCCCAGCCACGGCACTCCGCTTCCTGCCGCTGGTGCACGTGGGGAGGTTGGGGAAAGGACGCCTCCCGTACTCACCTGCAGCGGGAAGCAGAGCACCGCGGCTGGGAGCTGGCGGAGTCGAGCGGGCTGGGGCCGGGCTGCTCCGCTTCCTGCTGCCGGTGAGTACAGGGAGGTTGGGGAAAGGACACCCTCTGCACTCACCGGAGGCAGGAAGCAGAGCGATGTGGCCCCAGCCTGCTCTGCTTTCCTTGCCTCAGCCCCAGCCATGTTGCTGGGGGGGTTGGGAAAAGTCCCACACTCACCTGTGGCGGGAAGCAGAGCGCTGCGGCTGGGAGCTGGTGGAGTGGAGCGGGCTGGGGCCGGGTTGCTCCGCTTCCGCCGCTGTCGGTGAGTGTGGGGGGATCCCTTCCCCCAAGCCTCCCTCCCCCGAGCGACATAGCTGGGGCCGGGGCAAGGGAAGAGGAGTGGGCTACTCCCAGCCCCCGCTAATCCCCCAGGCCACTCTAGGACTGCGGGGCCCCCAAAAGTGGGCCCCCCCCCACAGCTCCTGCCTCCCAGACCCGGGGGGAGAGGAGGGGAGGGGAGGGAGGAGCTCCTGACCGCCCCCGAGACCCTCTGCCCCTTGTCCAACCCCTCAGCCCCAGCCCGGCCTGGCACCTTTAACACGCTGCTCACAGCGACGTGTCGGAGCTTTACCATGTTGTATGTGAACCCACGTTATATCGGGGTAGAGGTGTATTACAATTCCACATCAGAAAGAAATAAAGCTAAATTTCATGCTTTAACACTCAGAAAAGCCATTTAAAAGACAACGTATGTAAGCAGTTAAAAAAACGTTTCCTAACAACAAAAAAGTTACATTACAGACATTTAGTAATTCCTTGACCTGATTTCCTACCGATTTCTGATTGAGTTCATCACTAAGCAGCTCATATTCCCTTGCTTTGTCTTCTACTTCCTGAGATTTCTGATCATAGTTGACAGCAAGTTCCTCAAGGGCTTGTAGCACCTCTTTTACTTCTTCTTTAGAGGCATCGTTTTCAGCTTGGAGGCGATTCAGCTCAGCTTGCATATTGTCTTGGTCCCGCCTGGTAGATGCTAGAAGCTACAAAAGCGATAAAAAAGTAATTAAACACAAGTCGTCACTTCAGAGACATTAAGAAATGCAAGTGAGAGCCCAAACTTACTGAACAGTTTCTCCTAGAGCATAAAGCCTTATTTATTTAGAATTTGTACATGGTCTACCATCATGAAATAGCAATCCCTGAATTTATCCTCAGTACAACCAGATTTTAAGTAACAGATGGTTAAACTATTTGTCAAGGAGAGTAGACAAAGCTCATGTTGTATATTTCAATATCTGGTACAACTGACAAGATCTGCATTTTTATTTAAAGTTAACTATTAGTCAAAACCTTGGGGGATGAGGGGAGGGAGGAGTGGGAAGGCTTGAAAATCATATAGCAGATCTTCCTGGTGAACTTTAAAGAAGTTGCTAATCGTTAGTTTAATTAGAATGTTCTAAACTCCCAACTGACTTAAACGGGGCCAGTACTTCACCCTCTCTGTATTTTAATATTTCATTACTGAATAGGCACATAACCAAGCAGAATGGAGAGTTTTCAAAATATTGAAAAACTAGAGCTGAAACCATTTTCTGAAGTATGGTCAAAGTCTTATATGCTCAGGTCTTGCCTACACTACAGTTTTGTCAACAAAAGTCAGCTTTCATTGACAAAACAGTGGAGGTGTACACACTACAATACTCCTCCCGCTGATTTAATATTCCTGCTATGCCGACAAAATAAAATCACCTCAACGAGAGGAGTAGAGCTTTTAGTGACAAAAGTTAGATCAACGCATTGTCAGTATCGACACTGTACTTGTTTATGTTGCTCTAACTGGCTTCCAGGTGTCGTCCCACAATGCCCATCACGATTGCTCTAGTCAGCAGTTTGAACTCTGCTGCCCTGAAGAAACATAGGCATGCGCCCCTTCCCCGTTTAAAGGATTGTGAATTTTTAAAATTCCTCTTCCTGTTTGCTCAGCATGGACAGTTAAACACAGCATCTTTCCAGCTGACCACGCCGGCTTTCCGCAGTAGACACGCTCCTGTGTGGAGTACACCAGAGTGATTGGATCTTCTGGGTCTGTGGGGAGAGAAGGCTGTGCAGTTACAGCTTCATTTCAGCCACAGGAACTTTGATACCTACAGGCTGATTGGTAGAGGGATACAGGAGAAGGGGCATGAAAGGGACAAGCAGCAGTGCTGTACTAAGACCAATGAGTTGAGACAGGAATACCAGAAGGCAAGGGAGGCCAACCGTCACTCTGGTGCAGTGCAGAAGACATGCCGCTTCTACAAGGAGCTGCACACCATCCTTGGCGGCGACCCCACCTCGACCACCAAGAGCCCCAAGGATACTTTGGGAGGACTTGAGGCAGCGAACAGTGGAGTCAATCCTGAGGACGAAGTGGTAAAGTGACAGACGAGGAAGTGGAGTTGGAGGCAGCTGTGGAACACGACAGGGTCATCCAGTGGCGTGGTTAGTCTGGACCTCTTTTTGACTCCAGAGAGGTCCAGCCAGTCCCAGCACTCCAGTTCTGGTATTCCTGAAGCAAGGGATGCGAGCTCTGGTAAGCTTTGATTTTGCTTTGATACAGCACAGTGAGAAGAGATTGAGCTCTCATGTACTTTGTTATATGGTAGAGGAGGGATAAGGCACAGAAACTAACAAATTTCTATGCAGCGTGGGCCCAGCGGATAAGTTCCTTAATGTACACCAGCATGTCCCGAGAATCCGCCATGGAGATCTCTAGGAAATTTTTCTGTAGGTATTCTGCAATCCTCTGCTGAAGGTTCCTTGGCAGAGCTGCCTTGTTTCTCCCCCCACTATAGGAAACTGCCACGCCAACTAGAAATTATTTCTGCAGGGATCAGAGCAACACACTGGCGAGCAGCATACAGACCCAGTCTGAAGCCACATGCATGCAGGAGATACACCCTGCATCCTAGGTTATAGGAGTGAGATATTGGGTTTGATTACCCAATATTCAGAATACTCTCCCTAGATGCATGTAGTGACCCTCTTTGCAAACCACCCAGACCCTTTGTCTCCTCTTGCTCATTCCCCCGTTCCCAACCCCACCCCATCCCCGTCAAACGCACCACATTGGGACTCTCACCAAGCTGTGTGATAGCAAAGGGACAGTGAGAAAGAGGTGTGTGTAACTTTTGTGATTCATGGTTCTGAGTGAATTCACAGTACTGTCTCTGTTAACGGTTTCTTTGGCTTCTGCAGATGTGCCCTTGAGGACCATTCCTCCACACCAGCAGAGCGCCTCAAATCAGATAAGGCAGCAAACCAGGAGGAGAAAGGAGGATATGTTTCGCAAAGTGCTGCAAATCAACAGAGGCAGGAGCAGATGATAAAGCTACACGACACAATGAAAGGTGCAGTTACATGCAGCTGTGAGAGCCATAATTGAGAGACTGTTCCTCATTACCATGTCCCATTCGAAAAAATTTGAGAGTTTCATCCTGTTATTAAACTTTAGTCTTTGAAATGAAATGAGTCTATTTGTTTCATACATGTTAGTTGGTGGCTACTGGCAGGAGTATTTGCTCAGTACAATTAAAGCTCAGGAAGCAAGCACAAAAGGGGTTGTTCAGGGTGGCAAGTAAATATTGCCTGGCCAAATGCATCACATAAAGACATTACTGCGAATCATTGTCAAAATGTTTCTTCAAAGCCTCCTTAATTCGAATAGCCTCGTCCCTGCTGTGCCCCTCTAATTGCCCTGGTATCTAGCGGCTCCAAATCAGTAGCCAGCTGATCCACCTCAGCACTCTATCCCTGGGGAAACTTTTCTCCCCTCACTTTGCAAATGTTATTCAGAGCACAGTCGACTGAAAATGATCAACCTGCCAAAAAGGCAGCACCAGCAATCTTCTAATCAGCCAAAGTCACATTAAATGGTCATTTGGCACCTACTGAACCACTCCTTTCCACTGTCTAGGTTCCTGGTGTAAGGCTTCATAAACTACAAGAGCAAGGAGTAGATGGGGTCTCCCAGAATTACTATGGACATTTGACTCTTCTGGTCAGGAAAGGAAGTTCCACTGTGCGGCTTTCTATATAGTCCAGTGTTCCTAAAGATCATGCACCTTTCCTGACCACGCCGCACTGATGTCAGTGAAAAGGCCTTGGTGATCCACAATGGAGAGTAGCCCTTCCAGTTGATGTACTCCGTTGCAAGATGGTCTGGGGCCAAAATTGGGATATTTGTTCAATCTATTGCCCTGCTGCAGTTAGGGAATCCCATTGCCTCACAGTCATCCACTATTTCCTGCACATTACCAAGAGTCACAGTCCTTCATAGCAGATTAATGGCCCTGCACACTTGCATCACTGCAGCTCCCACGGTGGACTTTCCAACTCCAAACTGATTTGTGACTGACCAGCAGCAGTCTGGAGTTGCAAGCTTCCACACAGCGACCACCACTTGCTTTTCCACAGTGAGGACAGCTCTCATTCTGGAGCACTAGGATGAGCTCTGCACACAGTTCCAGGAAGGTGGATTTGTGCATCCGAAAGTTCTGCAGCCACTGCTTGTCATCCCATACATGCATCACAATGCAATACCACCACTCACTGATTGTTTCCCAAGCCCAGAACAGACAGTCCACTATGTGCAGCAGCTCCATGAATGCCAGCAGCAATCTTGAATTATTTCTTTACATGGCGGGCAGCAGGGCAGGCAACACTGATTCACAGCTCATGAAATACTGCAGAACTAGTCCCATTGTGTTCATAATGCTCATTATGCTTTCAGGCAGAGATGGTGGGCACACAGTTAACAAGGGCTGCTGAAAAACAGCACAAGGTCGGAAGCCCATGGAATGACAGGACTGAAAGAACTGCATCACGTGAGGATGAGTATGCCCCCATGATGCACCATATTCTGCTCCCAGAGCTCCCAGCGGCAGGGTTGCACAGTGGGATAGCTTCCTACAATGCAACACTGTCGATGCAAGAGCCCTCACTGTGGAAACATTCCGCCAACCCAAGGAGTGTTGTGTGGACATGCACAACTGATGTAATTAAAGTGGCTTATGATCGTCGACGTAACTTAAGTCCTTCTTCCTCATCCTCAGATGAGGCAGTTATAGTGGAGCCTATTTCTTCACCTTGGGACAATTTTAAGACTCATCAGGAGTTGTTGAGTAGGATGGCTATGGCCCGAGATATCCAACTAGAGGAGGTCCAGGAAAAATCTCTCAAGCTGGTGGAGATTTTGACATCTGCGGCTCCAGCCTGAATAGCTCTAACTTAAGTCAATATAACTCTGTAGTGTAGACATGGCTCAAGACAAATATTTAAAATGAAGTAAATCTATTTTCTTACATAGGAGAGCCAGGCAAGGTTGCCCATGCTTCCCTTCTGTTTTCTCTAGCAATGGAATCATTTGCATCTAAAATTAAGAAATAATTCAGTGACTGAAGGAGTTAATTTTTTGTAAAAACATATCAGCTTTGTATGGAGATTAGATATTAAAATTACCTACTCAAAAATCTGTCAAAATTAACAGAAACAGAACGATCTGGTAAAGCTTTGTTTTTTAAATAAATTATACCAAATTAAATACTTTTGGTTGGCATTACACAGCAAGAGCAGATTAATATACAATTCATAAATAAAAAACATTGTGTCCAATACTTCCAGCAAACCTAGATAAAAGGCTAACTGTATAAAAATTATGAGGTCAACTCAATGCCTTGGAAAACTGAACAGTTTTGTGATCAAAATATGGTGGTGATTAAAATGAACACTACTTAAGAGGGTTTTTTCCCTCCATTTCATATTCTTCCTACAGAGGAACACAAGTATTTTGAAACGTCTGAAGAATGAGACTTCTTGACACCCATGGAAAAGGTGGGGAAGACCTACTGTGCCAAAACTCTTAACAGACACACTAAGTTGGTAAAGGGGTTTGTGAATCTGTAGCTACTGTCTGGCCAAAGTATATCAAACTGGGAGCTCTGGATAGACACTGAACAGTTAGATTCTAACTTTAAAACTGGAGAAAGATTATGATGTGGTAAATGAATAAACCAGTTTGCTTATATAATCATCCTACTTTCAGTTTACTGAAAAGTTAGTTGTGACTTTAAGGTGGTTTTTTTCTGTATTATCCCCAATTATTTGTATCAAATGAAAAACCCAAAATAAAATACACAATAGTGAAACTCACCTCTTCCTGATCCAACATTTGTGTCTTCAACTTTTCTACTAATTGGCTCTGCTGATTGATTTCTTCATCCTGCAATTAAAACCAGCAATCCATTGAACAGTTTGAACACACAAAAATCTCAAATACAGATTAGAAGTCAGTTGTTCATCAACCTTTCCATGTTTGGAAACAATTATTAAACTAAACACAAGACCGATGATTCATGGACTCAAAAGGGATATAAAAAAAATATAGCAGGCTTCTAGCTTTATATGTATTTGTCGTAATTTACCTTGCACCCAAGAGCAAAATCCTACCCCTTTGTTATGTCACAATGTCTTCTCCAAGTTCAAGAACTAGGACATGTCCCCTCTGTAACTCCCAAGTAACCTACTTTGGATGAAAATTCTCCTGACTTCATATAAACTTCTTACTTCAAGGTATTTAGTAATATTGTTTAAATTTCAGAGATATGTAACCAAATGGCATATTTTGTAAAATATAATAATGGACAAATGAGCAACATCTCTCAGCTTTTCCAAAACAGATTACTCAAATGTCAGTTTATATGCATATTACCTTCCCCTCCCCTTAGTATTGTATCCTCAGACATCCAACTAATCAAGAGCATTTCAACTAGTTGAATGCAGAACATTCTTCAAGACAACTCAACTCTACCTACATCAGACTCCGTTTTCATCTATTTCCTATGCTCTGCCCACTTTGCTTTGTTCTTTCTATCCTTCCATTCTCCGTCCCCGCCTGTTGAAACTGAGAAGGAGAATGCCAATTAGTCCCAAATGAGGTGATTGTTTCTGTTGTGTTTAATCCATGGGAACTGCAGTCAGACCATGTTATATGGATTGAGAACACCCACCATGCTCATTTGAACTAACAAATGAAGATTTGTCTGAATTAAATATCAACCACTGTAGCTCCAAATATGCTTACTAAGAGATTTTATATTTAACAAGAACAACATACCTTGTCATCAAGTTGTTTGTATAATTTAGTAATTTCTTCCTCACACTTTCTCCTTTCAGCATCAGTAAAATTACCAGTCACTCCAATTGTAGCAGCTGGTTTATCATTATTGATAGCAACATCCTTATCCACTGCAAAAGCTTCCAAGTTGGCTTTCTCTTTGTCAAACTGCTCATCAACTGGTACAGTCTCCCCTTAAGTAAAAAGATTTTATAAATATGTTCTCTTATCACAGTTAGTTTAGAAATGTCTTTCAAAGTGAACTATCCCTGAGAAGTTATATACGAGATAGTCCCTAGCTATGACAGGTACTAGTTAAATGGTTAATAAAATATTTCAGAGAGTTTAAGGGCCTGTGACATACAGGAAGTCAGACTTGATGGGCGAATGGTGTTTTCTGGCCGTAAAATTTCACCCAGTTATTATTTCAGTTAATTACTGAGTCCAATAACTTGTGTGCTTGAGTAAGCATAATTTGTTTGACTAAAGCATAAAAGCTAGATCCCTTTCTAGAAGTTATCTGAAAGACTGAGAATTCACCACTTCCTTTGATAGTTTGGTCCAGTTGTTAAATCACCCTCACTTAAAAACTTAGGTCATATTTCTGCTTCAGCTTCCAGTTTGAGTCTTGTTATGCCTTTCTCTGGTAAATTAAAGAGCTCTTTAGTACCCAGCATTTCTCCCTGTGAAGGTACTTCTACCCTGTAATCAAATCACCTCTCAATCTTCTTATTTTTGACAAGATAAATATATTGAGCTTTAAGTCTCTTGCTGTAAGAGGAACTCTGTGTAAGCCTGAAATCTTGTCTTTCACCAACAGAAGTTGGTCCAATAAAAGATATCAACCACCTTGTCTCTCTCTGATAAGGCATTCTTCAAGCCCTTGAATTATTTCTACGGCTCTTTTCCACACCCACTCCAATTTTTAGAATGTGGACACCAGAACTGTACACAATATTCTAGTGTCAATCACACCACTACTATACACAGGTCAAATGATCTCGCAATTCCTATAGACCCTACTTCCTTGTATGTACATCTAAGGATCACAGACATTTTAGCTGCAGCATCACACTGGGAACTCATGCTGAGTTGCTTGTCCACTATGATCCCTAGATATTGTTCACAGTCCCTGCTTTCCCAGATACAGTATAGCCTGCATTCTTTGTTTCTAGATGTTTAACTTTGCATTTGGCTATATTAAAATGCATATTGTTTGAATGGCTTTACCAAGCAGTTAAATAGTGTCAATATTTAGTATATAAATATTAGTAAGCAGTATCAAATATTTACTAAACAGTAATTACTATTTAACACTGCTATTGATACAATCAAGTCAAGTATTAATCCCTGCATAACCCCATTAGCCTTCCCACCATTCAATGATTTCCACTGATGATTACTTTGAGATCTGTCAATTCACCAGTTCTTAATCTATTTAATTTGTGCTTTAATATTGCACAGTGCTAATTTTTTAGAGTGGTGTGAGTACTAAATCAAACATATTATACAAGTCTAGTTCATGTATGTAATTACCTTTATCAGCCAAACTTGCAATCTCAAAGAATGTAATCAGGTTTGTTTGATTAAACCATTCTGATTAGCATTAATTATATTCTTATCCTTTAATTAATAGAATCCTGTTAATATTAGTATTATGAAAACTATCTTCCACCCACAGACAGTAAATTTTCCAAAACACAGCATTCTAAGTTTCTGCTTTCCATAATCCCACAAGTGCTTCCCACGAAGAACTTTTAACATATTAGTGAACATTTACTTTAAACAGCCACAGTTCCCCTACAATTTAATGTATTTAAAAAGTACAACAGTTTAATGCAGGGGTTCCCAAACTTGGTTTGCGGCTTGTTCAGGGTGAGCGAGACACGAACCACAGCCACTGGGAGCTGCGAGCAGCCATACCTGCGGACGCTCAGGTAAACAAAGTGTCTTGCGGCCCGCCCTGGGCTTATCCTGAACAAGCCACGAACCAAGTTTGGGAACTCCTGGTTTAATGCAATCAATATTTTCCTAGAAGTTAAACACCTAACACAAATACAGAGTCTACTGAAGTAAAAATCCAGTAAATTGAAAGCTAACGCATGTCATCTCAACTGGAACGTGAAGAAATATTCTTAGCCACACGTTTCAGTAGTTTCAGTCACAATTTATTTTAAAAGGAGTAAGGACTACTGCAGTAGCCTCAAAGATTATATGCTATTTTAATAGCATTTTTCATGATTATACAACCCTAGTTTTCACAGGCTATTAATGTGCCTGTAAAAGTTTGTTTCCTGGTTAAAACTGTCAGCGAAGTCTTATAGTAACACAAACTGAATTGGAAAAATAGATTTGGTCAAAGTTATATAAAGGTAAAAAATAGTTTACCTTGTTTAGACACCTGCAACTGTACCAAACTAACTTTTTAAAATTAATTTAATAAACTCAATACACTAATTTGGAAAAGAATAGCAATTAATAGGTCTTACCTCAGATTCACAAAATGCAAAAATATGTGTAACACTGAAGAGTTAACCTAGAATTCAGTATCGTTATGGTTATAACGAGCCATGAAATGCAAAGTTGAAGATGAGACTTCAGATTGACACTACAACTTATGATTTATCAGTTTTTGATATATCCATTTTTTAAAATTTACTTTTCAATGATCCATAGATTCCAAGGGACTACGATGATCATCTAGTCCGGGGATGGCCAAACTTACTGACCTTCCAAGCTGCATCTGATAATTTTCAGAAGTTTGAGCCACAAGATACAATCTACCCCGCAGGGCTTCTGCCCTGATGCCCCATGACATTTCCACCCCGCAACCCCCACAGGGCAGAAGCCCCTAGCCCCACCACCCCGCTGCAGGGCAGAAGCCCCGAGCTTCCCCCACTCCCCTGTCTGATAGGTGGAGAATGGGGGGGGGGGGGGTGAGGGGCTCCAAGAGCCACAGTAACTATAAAAGAGCTTCATGTGGCTCAAGAGCCACAGTTTGGCCACGCCTAATCTAGTTGGACTAATTCAACTATCTTCACTAAGCTAAAATTCACGCAACAAAAAAATGTAATAACTTCTTACCATTGCGCCATCTGTTGAGCTCGTTTTCAAGCCACTGTATGGTGTTACGCAGTGTCTTGTTTTTCTCTTTTTCTTTTTCATACTTTTTTTTCCATTGTTCTGCAGTGAGTTCCACATTGACACAGACTGTGTTCTTAATAGTCTTAGCTCTAGATAGGAAGATCAGAAAATTAGCCAGGCTGAACAAGTCTGATACGGAGATTCCAGCCTTCCCACAGCTTGGTCAGACTGATTCATTACCTAACCTATCCAGTAGGCACAAAATTGTGCCTGACTGTGTCCTTATTCTTCTTGCCACATAGAAAACCTTCAATAACTGTGATAAGACAACTACAAAGTACATCAAAAGTTAAGCAGTGAAGTCATTAAACATCCAGTCTACACTGCGCTAATCAGTTCCCCTTCTAAACCACCCTCATCTTCCTTCCAACCATCTATAGATAAGCTCCATATGCTCAACCACCGCCTTAACTTCAATCATAAAGATAATTCCAGCGCCAGACGTATGCAGATTTTAATTCTGCAAATTCTACATAAATGAAGAATAACTAATGTGGACTCAACGAAGGGGAATGAAGTAGGGTTTACACTGAGAATATATTGCCTGAGGGAAAGGATGTGCGCCCTGACAAACTATGTTCTCTAGTTTAGGCAAAAAGAGAAGTTACTGTAGTTCTTTGAGATGTGTCCCCCGACAGGTGTTCATGTGCCCCACACACCTTCAAATGGAGATTTTCCATTATCGTTGTCTGTTGAGTCCCTGCATGTGCCACTGACATCTTCATGTCCAATACTGAAGCTGTATCAAACTGCATGGGTGAACCTTCCTCAGTTCCTTCTCCACATCCGAGTCTCAGAAAGAAACTCCGAAGCAGAGAGGAAGGAGGGCAAATAGTGGAGCACCCATAGGAACGCACATCTCAAAGAACTACAGTTACTGCATAGGATGAGTAACCTCTCTTTCTTTGAGTAGTATCCCTATGGGTGTTCCACTTCAGGTGACTCCAGAGCAGCATCCCCATAAGGTAGAAGGAGATTCAGAGTCAAATAAGTTAAAGGAAAACTGCAATGCCAACTGCTGCATCAGATCTGTAGGCATTGACGAATTGTCTGGAGAAGGTATGTGCCAAAGACCATGTAGCAGCTCTGCAGATATCTGAAACAGGGTTGTTTTGAGTAAAGTCACAGACGTAGATTGTGACCTCACTGAATGAGATGACACACCGGTATTCCTTTTGATAGTCCCAGGATAGAAAAGGCATAACCTTTTGGTTTGTCTGCAAAGGAAGTGAACAGTTTAGGAGAGCCACAAAAAAAAATTTAGTTCTATCAAGGGAGAAGGATAACACCCTTCTGACAGCTAGAATTAGGAGGACAGCCACCTGGCTGGAACTGTTCAGTTTTGGGGGAAGGGGGGGAAAAACTGGTAACCAAATTATCTGATTTAGATGAAACTTAGAAGACACTTTAGGAAGGAACTGGGATGCAGCTGTAATGGAAACCTTATCCTTGTAGAATATTATGAAAGGAGAGTCAGTCATTAATGCCACAAACTCTCGAACTCTGGGGGTTGAGGTAATAGTCATTAGGAAGTCTGTTTCCATAGAGAAATTCAATAAGGAGTAGGTCATCGTCAGTTCAAGAGGAGGCTTCATATGACTTAAGAACCAAATTAAAAGGTCCCCAAATGGGGTAGGGACTTTCACCCATAGGAAAAGATTTCCCAGACCTTTCATGAACCCTGTATTTGCAGGGTGAGCAAACAGGGAGAACCTCTCAATGGTGGTGTGAAAAGCTGTCAGGGCAGCCAGAGGAATCTGGAAGGAACTACGTGAAAATCCTGCTTTCTTAAGCTGCAACAAGTATTCAAAAATGAGCAGAAGCAAGGCAACTTCATGGACAGCGTTCTGGAGTTCACACTAGTGAATAACTCATTTCCACTTTTAAAGATAAGTATTTCTGGTTGAATCTTTCCTACTATTGAATAATCTGTATTGTTACTCTCTAGAACAGGACAACCTCTAGCCCTAAAAACCACTGAGGAGCCACACCTTGAGGAGACTGCTCAGATTCGCATGCAGCAGTTGACTGGCATCCTGAGAGAGAAGTTCAGGTGTGATCAGAAGATTTATCAGTGGATAAAGAGCTAGGTGGAACAGGAAAGGAAACCATGCTAGCCTTGAACATCAGGGCTTTAAGGATGACTCTGGTCTTGTCCTGTCTGATTTTGTTGTCATTCGGAGGATCAGAGGCATCAGGAGAAAAGCATAAAACTGCTTTTTCATCCAAGGGAGAAGGAAGGTATCCCCCCAGGAACTATGACCTTACCTTCCCCAAAGCAAGCAAATGGCATTTTTGTTTGTAGTTGTGGCAAAGAGGTCCACTTCTCGAAACTCCCAAGTCTGAAAAATACCAACTAGAACCTGGAGATCCAACTACTGTTCATAGTCTTGCGGAAAACACCTGCTGAGAGCATCAGCCATGACAATGTGTCTGCTCTGAAGTTACACTACTGAAATTCCTATGCAATGTTTTATGCACCAGTTCCATAATATCATTGCTTCGGCACACATTGAAGGGAATCTCATTCCTCTCTGCCAGTTGACATAGAACATGCAGGCTATGTTGTCCATCATGACCTTGATAGATCTGTGCCTGATGAGAAGCAGAAATTCAAGGCAGGTGTATCCGATCACTTTGAGCTCCAACAGACAGAGATGGAGGGTGGTTTCCTAGGATCACCATCTCCCCTGCACGGTTAGAGAATCAAGGTGTGCCCCTCCAACCATCGTAACAGAGATGAATCTGTGGTCATGGTTACCGATGATGTTGGTTGGAGGAAGGGAACCCCTGCTGCTACCTTGCAATGGACCTTCCACTAGTCTAGGGAATACTTCACCTGCTGGGGAACTGACACCTATTTGTCTAGACTGTGCCTGTTAGACGAGTAAACGGCTTTGAGCCACCCCTGAAAACAGTGAAGGCATAACCTTGCACACACAGTCACAAAGGTGCAAGCTGCCATGTGACCAAGATGAAGACAGTTTCTGACTGAAGTATGGGAGCTCCCTTGAATAGTTCTGACAAGGTGTGATAAAGTCACAAATCTGTCCATGGGCAGGAAGGCCCTGGATGCCAAGGAATCCAGGGATGCCCCTATAAATCATATGTTTTGACCGGGAGTCAGTGTGGATTTTTCCACACTGAAGACCCAAGTCCAAGAATAGAGACAGTGCTGTCTTTGTGGCAGACAACACCTCTTGGTATGACTGATGCTTGAGTAGCCAATCGTCAAGGTACAGAATACCTTGTAATTGCCTAACAATGCAATGTAATTGTAATTGCCTAACAATGCAAATAGGCAGTCACCATAGATAGAATCTTTGAAAACACTCTTGGAGCCAAGGAGACCCCGAACAGGAGCATCTCGTATTGAAAATGATCCTGGCCTATGACAAAATGCAGGAACCTTTTGCAAGGCAGGTGTATCACTACATAGAAGTATGAATCTTGAAGGTCAAGGGCCAAAACCAACCCCTGAATATAGAGAAGGAATGGCAGCTACCAGAATCACCATCCCTGACCTTTTGAGGCCTCACGAATTTGTTTAGAAGTCTTAGATCTAAGATTGGTCTCCACACTCTATTTTTCTTTAGTACAAGCGAACACCTGGGAACAAAAGGCCCCTCCCCCCCACTTCCCCTATGCTGAGTGGGGACCACTTCTATCACCCCTAAACGAAGAAGGGTTTTATTTCTTGTCTTAACAGTAATTTATAAGATATGTCCCTGAAGCGGGAAAGAGAAGGGGAACAAGGAGGGAGGTAAAATGGATGGCACAGCCCAAAGATATTACTTCCATCACCCATTTGTCCAAGGTGATACGTTCCTGTGGTTATTCAAAATGGAACAGTTGGTCTCCAAATGGGAGGGAGGTGGACAAAACGTTGAAGCTGGCAGGCTAATGCGGCAGGAGAGGTCAAACCCTCAATCATCCTGTCAAAACTGATCCTTCAGTGACGAAGCCTGTTGTGAAGTTGCATCAAATGGGGGGAGCCTCAAACATCTGTGAGAGACACAGACCTGTAAGCTTGCCCTTGCCAGACAGTACCGATAGCTTGAAGTGCTTTGCAAATGGTGCTGATGTGTCTGGAGGCTTATTTGGTACCAAAGAACTCAACAAGGTAACAGAACAAGAGTAAAAACTCTGATGGTACAGAACATCTGAACTTGTTCTGACCATCTCCACTAGATGGTATCAAAGCCTTTCCAGAGCCATGTTTAGCCTTAGGGCTGCGGCACTTTCCTATTTCACCAGTTCTGGTGGAGCTCCTTGCCTCCATGGTACTGAGCCTCAAGGATGACGTTTCTGAGGTGTCAACCTGGTCAGAAAACAAGGTTTTGGGGGTTGGATCCCTGAGAGGGAAATTAAAGCTCCTCTTACAATGTTTAGAGGAGGTCTGAGGATTTCCCCTTTCTGGGAGAGTGTTGCACTAAGGTCAAGGAGGTGCTAGAGGCTCAGAGGGAAAACTGATGTACAGGGGGGTGCACCATCATCTAAGAAATCAAGTTGTAATGACTGTTCTTCTGAGCCCTGGATTTGAAGGGCTAAATAGAAGTTACACTTCTATAGTATGTTCGACTCTCCCAGCAGCAAATGCACTTTGTGTGTCTGTCACTAATCAGGATGGCCTCTCTACACAAAAGGATGGCCTCTCTACACATTTAAACCCCAGTGAATCAGGCATGTCTACACAAAAGGATGGCCTCTCTACACATTTAAACCCCAGTGAATCAGGCATGTCCCTCTCAGGAAGGACTTTCCCAGAGAATATAAATTTAAAAAAAAAAAATCAGAACTAACTACTAAGGTAACTAAACTGAGAAAGAAACAAGCTCAGCAATAGCTGAGGTACATGTAAAGAAGACATGCTAAGTTCCGTCTCAGGCTGAGGCAGCTGAGAAGGAATTGAGGGCGGTTCACCCGCGCAACCTGATATAGCTTCATTGTGGGCACAGGCATGGGAACTAGGGATGCTGCCAGCCCCGCGCCCGGGGTCCTGGCTGCCAGCCTCAGCTGGCGGGGGTGGGGGGAGGAGGTGGTGAATATGGGTAAGGGGGCTGGCTTTCAGCATCCCTACTATTAAAATTGTTTCAGCGCCACTAAGTGTGGGACACAAGGATATCATACGCGGGCTGAACGGACACTACTAATGAAAATCTCTAATAGAAAGCATGTGGGGTGCACGTGTACCTGAAGTGGAGTGCCCATAGGGACACTACTTGAAGAAGAAATGTTTCCCCATATGATCCTCGGTTATTTTTATTATGAAACCCTAAACTCCAACAAAGTATACTTCTCACTTCCTGACAGTCTCTAGTATGCCTCATTCCTCAAATTGATTGCTATCACATATACACCTCTACCCCAATATAACACGGTCTCACCTATAAGATGGCAAGATTTTTTGGTTCCCGAGGACAGCGTTATATCGGGGTAGGGAGAGGAACTGCTCCCCGCCCCAGCTCACCTCCGTTCCGCCTCCTCCCCTGAGCGTGCTGTCGCCGGTCCACTTCTCCCTCCTTCCCCTCCAGGCTTGCCGTTCCAATCAAGCCTGGGAGGGAGGGAGAAGCGGAGCTGCGGCGCACTCATGGGAGGAGGAGGAGGCGGAGCAGAGGTGAGCTGGGGCGGGGGGGGGCCCTCAGCAAGTAAAGGGGGAGGGGGTGCAGAAGAACCGCTTGCGGTAACACGAATTCGGATATAACGAGGCAAAGCAGCCCCGCTCCCCGGAGCACTGCTTTACCACGTTATATCTGAATTCGCGTTATATTGGACCACATTATATCGGGGTAGAGGTGTACATACCTTTGGTGGATTTAATCTAAATTGTAACTAAAAAGGAATGTTACTGTAAATTTTTAATTGATGCTGGTTACTCTGGAGACAGATTTTATATTTCTCTCTAAAATAGGTAAAAGCTCTCAGAAGGGCGTGAGAATTAATGTTACTAAAGCATTTCAAGATGCGAGTGAAAGACACTAAGTGTATGGCTCATGAAATGAGATGGTAGGAACGCGATACATTCACGTTTTATGAAGATGAATTATTGGGAGACCAACTTCTATAGAAATTACTTAGATAACAGTTCAGAGGAGAGGAACCTGGGAAACTAAGGATGTTAAGCTCAAAACTTCAGTCTTTCAGGTGAACTTACTCTCAGTTACTTAGTTTCCTTGATCTGGCAATCAGAAAACTTTTTGAATCACTCCACACAACAAATTCTTTCCATACTAAAATGTTTTCTCTGTAAGGCCAGCTGGAAACTTGATCCACTAAATTAATTCCTCGGATGGATGTGTTCTAAGTAAAACAATGGCTGGATAAAGAGGAGCAGATTAAGAAGAAAAGTCAACTCACTTTTCAGGGGATGGAATTATTAAATTGGCAGTTTAAAAACAGAGAATTAAAATCAGACAGAATAATAGTAGTGATGGGAGAACAGATTCATGTCAAAAATATCCAAATTCTTAGAGTTCCTAATGATAAGGATTGCCTGATTCCTTTGTTTTTTTGGAATAAAATGTTTCTCTATATTTTGGATTTAAATATAAAATGAGCCTGTATTAGTAATTAAGTGTTAAAGAATTCTTACTGTAATGCACGTTACAGGAAACGGGCTAGAGAGCTCAATCAGGGCAACAATTTAAGATCTTGCCCAGAGGTAGAGAATTGTGTGTGCAGGCAGGGAATGAGTGGCACACAGATGGCTCAAATAGTTCACAGTAACTGGGTTCAAGAATCTGACCCTTCATTTCCATTTGAAAATGGTGTAACTGATGCACTGTAACCATTCAGATTATCTATAGTATGTTAGCAGTTATCTATTTTTCAATTGTTTACTTTGCACACAGTCTATTTCAATGTTTTGTTGGCAGTTACATGCCCTTCCCCAGGGACTTGTAAGGGAACGTTTACCAGTAGCCACAACAGCAAAGTGAATCTGAAGAGGCAGAGATCAGGACTATGAAGCAAGTGTCTGTTTCCTTCTCTCTCCTTCTGCCTCCATATATCTTTGTCTATTCCCCCCCTTATTGTGTGTACATCCCACCTTACTTTCTGCCCTGAAGTTTGCTATCCCATCCATTGATCTCTTCTCCCCACCCCCAGGTCCAAACTCATGTCCCACATGCTCAAACCCTCATCCACATCCACCGGGTTTTACTGGACATCCAATAGTCAAAGACTTATCCCATCTAGGTGTTTACCCTGCACAGAAATGGAGTCCTCACTGCGTAGGGGAAACACCCACATAAGATGCCTATATCCATACACCCCCACCTGCTGGGATTCCTACCAGGGTATTGTTGCTGGATTTCGTTCAGGGACTAGCTGAACAGCATAGTTGAAATTTGAACCCCTCTTTCCTCAGCTGCCAGAAAGGAGATGCAGCGTTCTGTGTTCCCCCCATTCAAAAGCCTGAAGAGGGCTTTGGTGTGGTCTCTGCTACTCTACCATTCACTTTTCTCATTTCTGAGTTTTCCTCCACCACAAATAGCTCCAGTGACAGCCTTTGCTACTGCTCAGTGCTTTGCTAAGCAGCAAAAGAGCAAGATCAACAATTCCCTGTTTCACTGAAGCACATAAAGGTAATGAATAGTAACAGCCCAAAATCCTCATACACTCTGGTCAGTATTTACACTGTAGCATGGTAAGAGCAGCTGCAGAAGCGAGTACTGGAACTCTGCAGTCTTAGGCAGACAGCATTAGATCAATCTTTTCTTCCACAAGGAAGAGAAGCTTTATTTTAAATGAAAGTAAACTCTGCTGAAGAGGATGATATTGGTCCACGACACTCACAAAAAAAGGTTCCTACTTGCCATGATGAGTGGATTTTTCAAGCCCTGCTTAATGATATTTTAGGCACACTACATAATCGGGCACTAAAATGCTTAGCAGTGTGTATACATGAGTTAAAGTGTTTATATTATATTTGATATAGGAACCGTAACCATCTGTAAATTTAAATTAAAAATTATTCTGCATTAGTGCCTTTCTGCACTGATCTTTTTGGTTTTTAAACAGAAAGAATGAAGTATTAATGTGTATATTTGAACATGCAGTCAGCAGCAGAATTTAAGAGCTCAACCTACTTGCTTGATAAGAGCAGACATCTTTTGCAGTTATTTCATCGAAGGCGTTTACTTACACCAATCTTACCAGATAAGATGCATGGGAGTGTAATAAAAAGTTGCTTGCACTTCATGACTTACAAGTCTTCAATGAGACAAATGTCTCTCCCGACTAGCATTTTTAAATTGTTTACTCACCTTTGACCAAACAAGAGCGTTGATTTAGTTTCAGACTCATTGTATGATGATGGAGAGCAGCAAATTACAATAGTGGTTCTGCAGTTACCACCCAATGAATCCTGAAGGATTCTGGTCATTTTACTGTCACGATATGGAACATAAGTCTGGAATGAATAAATGTATAGATTAGCATATGTTTGAAGGACTAAGTTAGAGTTGACAGACAACTATCTAGTTTGTTGGATAAGGATCTGCGCTCAATTCAGCTAAGCCCAATAAATTAGCAAGAAGATAATTTCTCTTCAAGTTCTTAAACAATGCCCAACACAGTGGTACAAGAACAAACCTTTCAAATAAGAGAGAGTTATGTCCAAGCTCTTGTACTTTTAGGGTAAAGGAAACTTCCATTAAGATATTTAATATAAGCTTATATAATGTCAGAAGATTATTTAAAATTCTGCTTTACACAGCAAGAGACACTGTAAGAGACACTGTTGCACTTGCAATGTAGTGATACAATGGTTGAGATTTTTAAGGCAATGTATGGGAGATGTGTGGTTAAATCCCATGCACCTCCTTGAAAATTTCAGCCCATATTTCCTGGGCACTATTACATCTGTATTCTCTCTTTTTCTGGACTTAAAAAAAACACTTACACTGCTTTCAGCCAAAGCAGAAATGACATTTCCAAGAGCTGAGAGAGACTTGTTGATGTTCTTAGCTTCATCCAGCAGAGCACCTTCTGCTCCAGTTTTACTAACCTAAAAAAGATTGAGTAAATACAAGTAAACGCTCTAGAAAGCATTTTTCAGGTTCAGTGCTTATAAAAAAGCCTGAACAGCTTGCTCTTTTTTAAAACCAAGTGTCGCTGTAGCACCACTAACTGGCAGAGCAAGCTGGGAAAATGGATTCCCTTCCCTCACTCCACACCACCCGAAGAAAAATTCTGATTTTCCATCAAACAACAAAAGTTTTCAGCTCAAGACTAATCAGTTTTTCCAATGAAAATCAAAAATTTCCCAAGGAAAGCAGACACTTTCTATGAAAAAATTAATTGAATTGAAAACCCAATTTTGGTGAAAAGTCTGACCAACTGTACTCACCGGTCATTTAAAAAAAAGGATTGAATGCAAACAAACAATTCATGCATAATGCTAAGACTGTGTCATGGTTATTTTTAGTAAAAGTTATGGACAAGTCACAGGCAATAACCAAAAGTCCCTGACTTTTATTAAAAATAACTATGACAAAATGGGGAAAGAGGAGGGTCCAGCACCCACTGCTGCTGGGCCTCCAGGATTCCCCCTACCCTCAGTGACTGAGACTGTGGGATCCCCCTGTTCCCCTCCCCGCAGCGGCCTGGAGATGCGGGGGTCTGCCCGTGCCACCGGGTTGCCACGCTGGCTGACAGCTCCAGCTCTGCTACTCCGGGGCTGAAGCGAAAATGTCAGAGGTTCCTGGAAGCAGGGCTTTGGAGCAGAGCTTGCGGAGCAGCAGGTTTTTGCCTGGAGCTGGACCGGAGCCAGAGCACAGCGCCAAAGCCCTGCCTGGAAGTCACCAATTTCGTGACTTCCATTACCTCCGTGACAAAATCTTAACCTTATTCATGTGCAAAAGCTAAGAAATTCGAAGTTATGGACACCAATTAACCCAAAAGTCAATCAAATCAGGCAGGAAAGTTACCATCTTAAACAACAGGGAAAGCCGATATAGACCAGATTCAAAAACAGCCTCTGCCACAAAAAAAACCTCAGATACAAGTTCCCGACACTGAAAGTCTATAAGAGCAGAGGAGACTGCAGTGGAAAATTACTACAACATGACTTCTTTCAGAAGGCACGTGAGGGTCATGGATAAAGATGGGAGAGAATGAAGAACAGGAAGCAAAAAGAAAAGGAGTACTTGTGGCACCTTAGAGACTAACCAATTTATTTGAGCATAAGCTTTCGTGAGCTACAGCTCACTTCCGATGAAGTGAGCTGTAGCTCACGAAAGCTTATGCTCAAATAAATTGGTTAGTCTCTAAGGTGCCACAAGTACTCCTTTTCTTTTTGCGAATACAGACTAACACGGCTGTTACTCTGAAAGAACAGGAAGCATCACCGGTTCCTGCTAACACCTGTCCCCAGATCTGCTACCCAGCCTAGTTTCCTAGTCTAAATGCCCAACCTTGCTCTACAGTTCTATGATCTGCATTTCCCTTCCCTCACATTCTCCCAATCTACACTGAAAGAATTTTGAAGTTACGTTTTATTCTATTAATGTAAACAAGTGTTAAGTGTAAACAACTACAACACAAATACATATACTATAAGGTGGGTGCACAATTTGTTGGAAAAAACTGCTCACTGACCATTTTTAGGAACCAGTAAAACAGTGAAAGGGATTTGACAACATGGCCACTTTTTTAACCTTTCCTTGTAGATCAAGTTTTCTAAACTTTTTGTAATTTTTGTTGCACTCCTCTGGCCAGATACTCACAACAGGATCAGGCCTGGAAATGCCTTTCCATGATGGCATGTCTCCAGAGGGGCAAGGAAAAGCTCTGACAAAAAACCTTGAAAACCTTGGGCTTTTTATACACTATAAATAAACAAGTGATGTCACAGTGGGTTTTTGGACCTTAACTAAAATCAGACGAAGCAGTTCAGGGCTGAAACTTGCTCTCTTCAAGGTTTCCTCATCTCACTTTGCCATATTTTTCCCTAGTTACAGGAGTAAGCATTTATTTTTAAAACAAACTAATATAACTAATTATTTCCTGCACCTGGTGGGTACCCGATTAGCCATGTTTTTCTTTATTTTTATTACCTCAACCTAAATTCTAAGTAAGATAACACTGGTATTTCAAGGGTCACTATAAACTTAACCTAAACAATCCCCCTTTCTCATGATCTTATTCTTTTTGGTCAAATGCTTTGTGCCTATCACTCATGCTACTATCCAAACTCAATTTAAACACCATAATTCACTCAGGCCTAATGCCTGATGGACTATAGGGGACAAGCAGAACCCCATAAATAGGGAGCTCACAGTACTGGCAGAGTGGTGCACAAGGTGACTCCATTCAATGGAAATAAGGAAGAAATTTCCACATAACAGCCTTGTCTCAGAATTAAGGTTTCTCAAGTGCATTTCCAGTCAGCGTGATCACCAGTTAGGACAGCGTTAACACAAGCAACCACAACCTACACAATATCCACACTGACACCACCTTCACAACAAACTCCTTTCAATTCCAACATATAACCAATCACAACCCACACCTCCCATTTGTCATATCACACTTAAACAGGGACAATGAACTTAAATCTACTTTTTTCCATGTACAAAAAAAAATCACTATACCTTTTACCAAATTCAAGCTTATCTATCAATAGGGAGCATATAAAACTAGCCTATACTGGAGTTTGGGTTTCATATATGAGCACTGGAGTTGAAACGAGTCATGAAGCTGACTGAGGAGTCAGAATGATGATTTGTGTATTCTTAGGAAGTGATACTTGAGCTCTACGTTAAACAAGGTTCTGTATGTTCCTTTAGTTTTCAAATATATAAAGACGAAGTTACCTTTTCACTACCTGCCAAGTCCACAAGGTAAAGTTTTCCACTCAGTTTCTGTTCTGTTTGAGTGTTTTCTTGTTTTACATTAATAAGGAAGATACTATGACTTCGAGAGCTGTGTTCATTCATATCTATAATGCAAATATTTAAGAATTTTCAAAACACTTGTTTATACAACAAATCTGCACTGGGTAACAATTACTCTAATTTGACCTTAGCTGAACATTTAGTATACAACATGAACCTCTCACAGTGAATATCTCTAGAGATAGACAGCCTTACAGTAGTTTGTGATGAATACAGTGTATTTAAACGAAAGCAGGCAAATGAAGGGTCTATCCCATTTTATTCAATAGATTAAGTCAGCTTTTTTCCTACACATTTCTATTAATAAAATGTAAAGTATATTGACATTTACTAGTCTGGCCTTTTACTCTGGGCTTAAGTATTTTTGGAGTTTATTAGAAACACTAGAACATTTGTCACTTTTTTTTCCAAAGCTGTTACATACTGACCCAAAGTGTAGAGTTACCTTTAGAAACTATTTCATTTTTGTTATAAGATAATGATTTTTTTTTCTTTATGCTTTATAGCATAGGTAAGATGTGAAACACAAGTAAACTTTCAAAGACACACATTTCATATTGAATTAAAACAGTTCTTTGAGTTCAGTAACAGAAGTCTAAGCTGATTTACTTTGGAGGTGAAGAGGGAGAAGAAGAGCCCCCTATTTAGTCTTCTCTCTAGCTCTGTGTCAGACAGAAACAACCCTAAATCCCCCATAGCCCTTTAAAGATGTGTGGGTAGCTACAAGAGAAGCTGAGGAAGTGTGAAGAAGGAATAGTCCCTTGTTCCCATCCATTGCTACTTCCCTGTTCCTCAGCCTTTAAATGCTGACCAGTCCTGGTTTCTGTTCCTTGCTGCCACCAAGAAAAAAAGTAACTGTGTTTGGCTTATCACTCCTCCAAAACACTCTCCTGATCAAAGGGAGGGCCAGAGCAGGCTTGGCCTCGATATTTGATTGCCTTCCTCAACCTTTTACTGATAAAGTAGGAACAGGCAGCAGGAACAGGAAATTTCCACCAAAAACAGCAGGTCCCAACGTTTTTCTGATGAAGTCCTCTGTGGATGAAAAGCTTGTCCATTCCCTTGGCCAAATACTGCCATATTTTTTGTTTATATTCTCTTTTCTTCTGCCTCAGTTTTACCTTTTCTGTCCCCAATGTACCATTTTTTGTTTTTCCTCTTTTTGCCATCTCATTTTGTAGCTTCCCCTCCCTACGTCCCACTCAGAAGAAGGCTACATATTGCCTACAATGAGACAGTCCACTGACAGCTCCAAAGACACAAGGCACATACTTTTACAACTTAGTACAGTGCCATAGGACCAAAGAGAGAAGCTTAGACCTATGGAATGCTGCCTAAATCTGCAGACAGGTAAACATGGGTATCTCGTGATCAGCTTTGTTATAGGCCTCTGCAGTAGTAGAGACAAAAAGCAGGTGGCTTCATGAGACACAAACTGCTTTACTTCCAGACACAGGAGTACATTCAAGGGATGGGGGACATGGATCTGGGATCATGACCTTTCACTACTCCATGCTTGTACTCTGCCCCTACTCCAAGAAAGGGCATGCAACCACAAGTTGAGTAACACTGTCCTAGAAACAGGAAGTTAGATGAAGGGGAGACAAACTAAATAGACCAAGATTGTTTTAATTTGTCTTAACCTACTCTTGCAGCAAGTGACACACTGAGGTGAGTTACACAAAAGTCAATCTTTCAAAAAACTAGAACCATTCACTTACATTCATAGTTTGGGCTTCTCTCATTTATAAAAATCAATGAAAGGAAAAAAAAAACCACTTACTTGTAACTGCTACATGTCTGTTAGATTTTCCTTCATCTATAGTATCCATTACTTCATCCGGACTACATACAAAACGTTCAGTGCAGCCCTTTAAAAATTGACAAAACATAAATAAGTGATGTACATGGAGAAAAGATAGGTTAGTCAATAGCGTAACACTTATACTCACCTTTACATAAGGAACTCTGTTTTTGTCCTCGTGAACAGAAAGATTGGTCTTTGAAACTGGAAGAAAAAAAACTCTACAGATAAGATATTTCATTTGTTCAAAAGAATAATGTGGTGAATGATCATATATATCCCGAGGGAAACAGAAACATTTCTCATGGTATCCCATGCAATTCTTATATTCTAACATCTGAACAAGGATTTACACAAAATGGCCATTAGAGAAACCCAAATGCTTTTATACACATAATACATTATACAAAGAAAAGGCATAGCTATACTTAATTTTACAATTGTAAGGTTATGAAAGCCAACAAAAGACTACATTGATAGTTGCCATTTACAACATATCATTAATGTGCCACATAACTATCCTAATCTGGCGGTAAAGTTTCTTTACAGTCTAACAAGTTGCTATCCCCATCCTATATAAAGGGCACAGACTTACCATCTAAAAGATCTCTTATTTTATCCAAGTATATTTCAAAATATGACACCTAATGAAAAAAGATACAGCATTAAAAACAGTAATTCATAGATTTTAGGCCAAAAGGGACCATTAAAATAATTTAGTCTGACTTCCTGCCTAACACAGGAGACTTTATTCCTTCCAGTGAATCCTGCACCTAGCCCAAGAACTTGTGGTTGAACCAAAGAATCTCTATTAGAAAAACATCCAAGCTTAATTACGACTTCAAGTGATGGAGAATTTACCACAACCATTATCCAAGTTACCAAAGGATAACTGCCCTCACTGTTAAAGATTAGCATCTTATTGTCAATGAATTCCCTATTTATGAAAAATAGGTATTCCCAACCTCTGGGCCCAACTGTCTTTGGATTCATATCTTCCAAATAAAATGGGAGACTTGTACACATACCAAAAAACCCCAAAGATTTAACCATCAATTACTTTACTTTAAAATCAGATGCAACTTTTTGTTTCAATAGTACTTCTTAAACCGAACAATTTACCTTAATGTGGAACTCCAAATTTTCATCCATGGAGTAAATATAATTGAAGATATCTTGCACTATTCTTGGAATAATCCCCATCCCATCTGGATCATGAAGTGTTCCCTTTTGAGGAAAAAAAACAACTAAATGCAATATTCTTTATCAGTTATAATTCCACGAATACAACAGATTTCTAATATTCAAAGATGACAAACTGAACACAGAAGTTGCAGTGGGGGAGATTTAGGTTGGATTTTAGGAAAAACTTTTTCACTACGAGGGTGGTGAAACACTGGAATGCGTTACCTAGGGAGGTGGTGGAATCTCCTTCCCTAGAAGTTTTTAAGGTCAGGCTCGACAAAGCCCTGGCTAGGATGATTTAGTTGGGGATCGGTCCTGCTTTGAGCAGGGGGTTGGACTAGATGACCTCCTGAGGTCCCTTCCAACCCTGATATTCTATGATTCTATGAAGGAGTTGATTTTAGAATAGTAACTAGAAAGAAAATTTTTAAGAAGTCTTGCCAACCCATTTAGGACCAAGATTTGGTTAGGGTAAAAAATTATCCCAGGAATCTTTTAAATAATAAATTGAAGATAAAAAGCTGCTATTAATGGAATACTTAGTATTTCTTATTCTGCTGCTGGAGGGCCAAATAAGGCTCCACAAATTAATTACTGCTATTCCCAGACTCATGGAAATAATGATGCCCAAAATACTATATTACAGTCAAGCCCACCAAGAAATTGTGGGGGAAGGGATGCCAGATGAACAGAGGAGACTGAGGACTTTTATTTCAAAAGGAGAAGGGTATATAACTATGGAAAAAATGATAAAATATTGTGAGAAAGTCCTTTTTAGATACCTTACCTCCATAGTGTGTGTTTTCCCAGATGATGTTTGTCCATAAGCAAATATTGTACCATTGTATCCCTCAAGTACATCTAACAAGAAAGAATTTATGCGTTAGTGTTCTTTTCCAAGCTAACTGCCTATGGAGAAGTTTGCAAGAAGATAATTGAGTGTTTAATGGACAAATAATCTAATTTAGGATTTTGACTCCAAATGAATTTTGACCATTACAAGGTGTTTCCACTATGAACACATGTCTAATAAAACAGAATTGCATGTTGCTAGAGTAGAAGTTACATTAATAAATTAAAATGTAAACTAATGTATTACATAAGAGAGTTTCAGACTCAACATACAGACACTTTTAAAAGGTGAGCTGCAAAGGGAAAAAAATGGGCTTGTACCTTTTTGCTTCTTTTTAGTATACAAGACAGGGTGAAAGGCTTTTTTAAAAAGTTTACATTAGAAATTAGTGTCTTGTTTAGGCTGGAAAACTATGAGAACTGAAAAACTAGGAACACAAATACTGGGCTTCTGAGGACAGAGGAAGAAATCCTGCAACATGCTGTTATTGGATAACAAGCCCACCCAGAGAAACATTCTAACTTCCAGTAGGTTAGCTTATGCCATAAACTTAAACGTTTGTATCCTTTCTAAAGCTAGTTTTTTTTAAAAGTATTGTGACTGTAATATATGTACATTTCAAATTTAGTGTAATATTTATTGAACTGATATTCTTGTTATCCATATAAATGTCCAAACTTTTTTTGAAGTCTCCTAGGTAACTTGCCTCAATGATTAATTCACTACCACAAGTTTATAATTTAATTGTGACTTTTGTGGAAAAAGAAATTTTTATCAGTGTTGAATTTGCCAGTTTCATTAAATGGCGCCTTGTCCTCATGTTATGAGACAAACAGAAGTTCCTTATCTACCTCTCAATACTATTAATTACAGTACTTGAGAGGAGACTAGTAAGGAGGAACACGATGAAAGGGAGTAGTATCAATCTTTAAAACTCTTCATGACAGTTTACCCATCCCCTTAATCGCTCATCTTCTGAACTCCCTCAAATAATGCAACATCTTTTTTTGTGAAGCGATAAGTAAAGAGAACACTGCAGTCCAGGTTAGAACACACTATTTATACAATTGACATAATACTTCTGTACTATTCATCCCGTTGTTCCTTATGCCTCCTAACTTTATTTGCTTTTTAGACAATTGCTGCATATTGAGCTTAAGCCTTAACTTTGCTGTCCACACTTAGGAAATTCATAAGTTTTTACAGTTACTTTAGAACCTTGAAAGGTGTATGATTAGTTCAAAGTCTCTCTCCCGATGTTCATTATTTTGCATTTGTTAACAATCTCATCTGCCACCCTGTTATGCATTTACCTAGCTTGGTAAGGATCCTCTGAAGTTTCCCAGCCTTTTGCAGTCTTGCTCAAGTAATCTGTATCTGCAAGTTTGAATACCAAACTGCTCATCCCCTTTTAAAATCATTAATGCATTCAAAACGAGTGCTACTACAGACCCTTATAGCAACTCATTGCTAAACTTCTGCTATGATGAAAATTTAACATTTATTTCTCTGTTTTATCTCTTAGCCAGCTTCTGATCCTTGCCAGTAAATTGCCTATTACCCCAAGACTAAATTTTTTTTCTTTCATAATTTGTGAAGGTTTGGTTAAAAGCCTTTTGAAAGCCCAAATAATTGATATCAACTGGGACGCCTTTTCTTTACCCAATATTTTACTGACCTGTTCAAGGGATTCTACTACAAGTAGTACGGCAAGATTTTATTCTGCAAATGATGAACTGGTTAGACTATCACATGATGATTTTCTAGGTGTTTTATAATTCTATTTTAAAAGTATTGCCTCAACCAAATTTTAATATATTCAAGGACAGAGATTCTGTAGTCTTTAAGATGCATAAGCATTGAGGCAGGAGTTCTATCTGCAGAAGATCTTCACTATAGTTGACTAAAGTTCTCTTTATACAACTAAGATGATCTCCAACTTACTTAGCTATGTATTATACAAGCTTAGAAAAACATTGCATATGCTTGATTTTTGAAGGTTTATACTAATCAAGACTTTTTCCTGGAACAGGTATTTCCATAGCACAGTCTATTCTTATGCCATATTTCAACCCCATTGATTTTGGCTGCAATTTTTTTTTAAGAGTCTTGAGCATCATTTTAAAATAGAAAAGTTATATTTTCCCATCCTTTTACTTAAGAACAACTTTTCCCCTATAATTGCCCAAGAGAGAATTTTAATGGAAGAGACCTGGCCTGAAAGATTGCAACCTGACAAGAACAACATTTCAAACAGTTATGAACTGAATATATGGGTTCAGAATTGATGTCATTCATCAACTTTAACTGTAGTGATTGCTGCCACTCCTGCTATAATTCATGCTGTTTCTTTTAGATACAGTTTTTGGTGGAAAGATGAGTAGGAAGAGGAGAGTTGGAACTACATCACAATTTTCAACAGTAAAAGCCACTTAATAGTCTATTGATGGCTTCCTTATTGTCAAGTTCAATGTTCTTCCTTACCTTTTACAATTTTTTTAGCACAATCATTGTATACTTGTTCCTGTGATGTACTTGACTGGAATACATGGTCAAACACATACGGCTTGGACTGAAAAGACACAAGAAAAGTAAAAAATCCCAGTCACAGAAAGTAAAACTGAACATTTTTCAAATTTGAACTGTCCATATTAATAGCCTGCTTCTACAGTATCTTTTTGCTTTTGTTTGTATACTTGAAGCCTTCAATAAGAGGAACTGATTTATACACAAGTTACCAGAGTGAAAGATGAGCACATACGAATGAAGCCTTGAACTAAACATATCTGCAGCCTGAAACCAGCCTAAACAGTTTTTCAAAAGAACTTTCACCATAAGTATGACCCAGTCTCACTTAATTACAGTTTGGCAACAAGTCAGTTCATTTTAAGTTTTCACACAAATCTTAAACCAAAATGCTCAGGTTAGTACTGTACACTCAAGAACATTTCTTCCTCTGGGAAAAGGACTAGATGGTTATTAATTCAGGATTCTGATAGATGAGATCCCTCTTGAAAGGGAAGAGTAGTAGCATTCTAGAGGAAGTATGCCAAGAAACTACAGTGCTTAATAGGCAGAAGCCAAACCTGAGGTAGCTGAAGTCTACGCTGCAAAAGCAGACTGCTACCTATATTTTATTCTCTGGATGGAAGGAAATATTCAAGCTGCTGAAGCACTGAATTCTACTTAAGTGTTTCAGTTAGTGCAGACTTAGTTTTGGACTTAGCAGGCTCTTGGAGGTGTCCATTACTAATGCTTTGGATATTCTGGTGACTACATGCTGATCTGACTAAAGAGACAATGTAGTATTATGTCACTGAGGTAGAGTATGTCACTATCCCCTTTTTCTGGATTATGCTGCTACCACTCCCATCATCTGAGTGACTACTCAGACACTCTTAACCACTCCCATCGGGGTGATAGATGCATTATGATGAAAGCAATTTTGTGTTTTGGGACGGGATTTCCCAAAGCACTTAAGTGATTTAGGACACAAGATCCAGGGATCTTCATCAAATCATTTAGGTGCTTTTGGAAATCCCACACATGATCTATGCTAGTTTCTTTTAATACAGTCTAAGAAGTTTATCCAAGCCAAACTAAAACTGGGATGGACACTTATTAGCAAGACAGATTCCTTCTTTAACATTTACTATCAGTCTTGAGGTGTGAGGCTGAAGTTTCAATAAGCATATCTATAAAATTAGCCACTGAATAAAGGATACAGCTATAGACAGCCATTTCCTCAATCTTCCTGTAGTGACTTTAATAAAAGGAATATTAACAGGCATATCTGGTATTGTGTGTGTTGCAGGCCAACTCATTATAACTCACAGGTAACATTTGTCTAATATGCACAAGTCTGCATGCACTACTTCATATACACATTCCTATTGCTGGATCACGTTGCCCCCATTATCACCTTTTGTACCATATCTACGCTATTCATATTGTGTCCAATAATATCCTAAACAAAATTTATGGTGCACTATTGATGTGGCTGGTATTCCTTCAGGTTTAGATGTAATTTGAAACTTCCTCCAAATTATTTTTCCACTTAAAAAAAAAATTGATATTCATGAATACACTATTCCAAGTCAGTACATTTTTGAGAAAGTCTTAAGTGACTATCAACTGATTTTGGAGACTCTCTCTAGAGGGATTAAGTCAGGCAAGTTATTGCTCTTAAAACATTACATCTTGCAGTAATCCATATCTATCTTTAACAGTTAAAAGACTGCTTAACTCACCCAGTGTTTTTTCTTCACGTAAATGGTCAAAGTACCCGATTCCTGATGTTTCCAGTACAATGTTTTGTTAATTTTTAGCTTTTTATTTCCTCACATGGGAAAATGAAAATAGAGCTATAAAACAAAGCTGTAAACTGCATAAGAAATTTCCACAATTCTTTGTTAACTAGTGGATAGATAGGTTAGTGATGTTGTCCAAAACAATCAAACTGCTATATTTTATTTTGATTTAATGCCAAGTCCTACAGGAATTTCTTAAACATCACATTCAGTGTGCCTGTAACGTATTTTAGTTTGAATAAATTGTTTTGATTGAATCAAATTAAACTTCATGTTAGTTTAACTTTTTTGAGCTCTTTAGAGAGACAAGGTGGGTGAGGTAATATCTTTTACTGCACCAACTTCTGTTGGTGAGAGAGACAAGCTTCTCTGAAAATCAGTTTAATATTCTTCCCCACATTGTAAGATATAAAATTTATCTCCATTAACAAACAGTTCGGAGGGAGGTTGAATTTACTAACTCTACTTAAAATAATTTAGCTATATCATGCCTTTATAATTCTCCTTTAAGCTGCCACTGAGATAGTACTATGAAAGGGCAGAGCTTAGAGAAAAATAACCAAATTTTCTTCCCACTCCTTTTGATTTATAGGATTACTCACTATACGTACTACGCTTTGTTGAATTTTATGGATTAGTTAAAGGACTTCTCTCTCAAACAATGAATCCCTTATTTGAATTAATCTTAAATATAAAAAAGTTTATACATCACAAACTTCAGGAACCCTTGACAGACTGACTTCTTCCAGAACACAGTTCCCTGTAACAAATTTATTAAATCTACCAGAATCCCCATTCTCATTACTGACCAGGAAGGTGGCGGTCTTAGTGGCATGCCCTGAAAGTTGAGTGATTACAGACCAAACCAGGAATGCAAATTCCAAAGGTTCAGTGCCCTAACAGAATAGTCTGCCTGTAATCCACTCCCTCCCATCACACTTTACACCAATGAGGCTCTAGCTCAAGCATCTCCACTGATCTATATTTGTCAAACAACTGTTTTTAATTTTAAAACAATATTTCAATGCCAAAATAAGCAGAGGTGATAAAGAACAGCTTTGCCTAGACCTGTGACTGATTTTAAAAGAACTATATATACACCTATCACAAAAAACAGTCTGAAAGATTGTTGTGTAATTCCAAACAGGTTTCACTTATTTGGCATTTGCAATATCAATTCTAGCTGTTTTCCAGTGGCCTACTTTCTCACAGCAGGACAACCAAATTTCTAAAAAAAAATCTTCAGAAAAAATCAGTAGGTCTTTATACATTATTAAGAAACATAACCCTATTTTTCAGTGCCCAGATCACACCATTATTGTGGCACAGATTTCCCTCACTTCGCCACAAATACCTTAGCTGCATCAAGAAGCTATGACTGAAAACTTTCTGAGGAAAGGTACAGAATCAGGCCTTGCTCTGGATTGCAGTTTTTGGGTATTACCATAAGTGACAAAAAACAAGCTGAACCATCACATACATACTCTATAAGTTGGGTGTAATAACCCTTGTGTTTTGGGATACAGATATCCTTTTGACTAGGAATCAGACTCACAATTGCTCAGTAAAAATATTTCACTTAACCTTGCAAATTAAGCCTATAGGTTGCCTATTCATTTGTGTGCCAAATCCCTATTTTCCAGTCTCCCCAGAGCCCACAGACCCGCAGTTAAACATCCAGATTCACCTCTTTCCCAGAGTTTGGCTGTACTGGAAACAAACATTACCCCATAAGACATCAGCCTAAGCTTCCTTCTTGGCTGCTTCTATGGTGTCACTCTATGAACCTTCTCTAAATGAACCAAATCAGTCTGCCTCAAAGCAACATTCCAAGCCCTTGTTGAAGCTAACTTGCAGCTACCTGCCAGCATGACCCAGCAGTAGTTACTCAAATCTTGATGGAAGTTTTTTTTTTTTGTTATCATAATTAATGGCCAGTTTAGCTGTACTGGGCAACAGTTTTCAGTATTAGCCTACATTCAAATATATTCGAAACAACTGAAATGTACAAAACTTTGCTCTTCACAGATGTCCGCTGGCAAGTCATCATCTCTCAATGTCTTGTTCATAGAAGACAATTCTGTTACTCTTAATGAGACAGAATAACCTCTAACTTCAGGTTATCCTCAGAAGTACAGAAAATAAATTGTATAAAAGTATTAAGTGTTTATTTCTATTGCATTCATACCCTATAGTTTTAAAGTTTACTGTAAGATTTTCAGAGTCCATCCATAACAATGTGTGGCTTGGATCATCTTGTTTTCTGATCCTTAATACCTGGAATAGTCTTTTCATTATTGATACTATAAGATGAGCAGCCAGTAACGTTCCATTTCTGTATCACAACATATACAATGCTTTTAACTCTAAAGCATATTCTTTTTGCTAATGTAATCATTTTAGAAACCCATTCTGTCTGACACTGTAGCCGGCTTATTCTTGGCATGAGGCGCACAAGACAGTTTATAAAAGATTGAGGTATAAAAAAAACCCAGCTTTTCTCCCAATGCAAAACAGTATGACACAGTATTGCTATCACCATTTTTGCCCACAAAAATGTACAAAAAATGTAAAACTTTAGGTCTAAGTAAAGATTCTTAGGACGGAACTATGTGAAAGGGGGTTCCAAAGAGGACTGTTCTCAGTGGTAGCAGATGACAGAACGAGGAGTAATGGTCTCAAGTTGCAGTGGGGGAGGTTTAGGTTGGATATTTGGAAAAACTTTTTCACTAGGAGGGTGGTGAAACACTGGAATGCGTTACCTAGGGAGCTGGTGGAATCTCCTTCCTTTGAAGTTTTTAAGGTCAGGCTTGACAAAGCCCTTGCTGGGATGATTTAGTTGGGGATTGGTCCTGCTTTGAGCAGCGGGTTGGACTAGATCACCTCCTGAGGTACCTTTCAACCCCGATATTCTATAATTCAAAGAAATCCCAAACAGAGTGATTTTAGCAAAACTTATCCCTTTTTTTCCCCCATTAATTTGAGAGCACATTTATTTTCCATTCCCAACCCTCTTTCCCAGTTTGGAACATAATGTACTATTGCTCTGTCAGTGCCAGAGTTCAAAGTAGCAAAAAAGACAGACAAGCAGAGTCCCAGCATAGTATTCTGCTTCTAGGAAGAAAAATTATGCTTTTCAATTCTTTTGGAGTGCATGAGGAGAATAAGATGCATGTAGAACTGATTTTTTGTAACTGTAGAGGGTGCAGGGTATGTCATTGGACCTTAGTTTTCCAGTCCTCCATTCTTATTTTCCTGTGTT